GGGAGAGCTCCCCCCGCCCCGGTGTCCTGGGACCGCCCACGAGGCCGCTTGTAGACGGAAGCGTGGACATAAACAGGGGCCTTCGGTCGGCAGGCTCGGGCGGCCACTTCACCCGTTCTCTCTCTCCTGCTTGTGTTGCAGCCCGACTTTCAGTTTCGTCCATTCAGGCGCCCCGAGTATTTTTAGAAGTTTCGTGAAATGTTTTACTGAGCCCGCGGGCAGCAGCTGGGTGCGGAGACTCGCGGCCTGGGCAAACTGGGTGAGTCTGGCTGCCTCCGCGGGGGTGGGGGTGCTGGCGACAAGGGCACCTTGAAGGCTGATCTGAGTGAGAGGGGAGAGAAGGCTCTCCGAAGTGGCCAGGGGCCTCCAGACAGGAAAATGGGAAATCTGCCCCAGGGGCAGCCGCATTATAGGGAAGGAAAGCTGGAGGCCTGGGCTTGAATCCCAGCTCTCATACTGTCACACAGCTGTGTGGCCTTGGGCAAGTCACTTCCCCTTTGGGGGCCTCAGTTTCCCCATCTGGACAAGGGGAAGAGTGAGTCTGAATGAGAAAATAAAAGCCCAAGGCGGCCCTTTTCCCCAGAGAAGGCTGAAGAGCCATCGCTGGGCTTGTGTCTTGTCAAGGGATGTAGAGCTGGAAGGAACTTTCCCGATTGAGTCCAACCCTATCATATGACATGTGGGGAAACTGAGGGACTGGGAAGCCAGTGACTGACCTGATGAGACGCTCTGAGAGACAGCATGAGAGCTGGGATCGGAGCCCAGGTCCTCTCCTCCTGGAACAAGGCCTTCCACTGCCGGCTCCAGCGAGCCGAGGCCTCCTCTGGTTTTTGTGTCTAATTCTTCAAAAGAATCAAGAGGCAGCCAGGTGGTGCTGGGCCTGGAGTCTGGAAGCTCTGACTTCAAGTCCAACCTCAGGAGCCGACTAGCTGTGTGACCCTGAATGAATCCCTTCACCTCTTCCTGCCTCACTTTCTATAACTAAAGTGGGGATAAGAGGACCTATCTCTTAGGGTTGTCATGACAATCAAATAAGATACTGGTAAAACACCTGTCTTCCAGATGAAGAAACAGAAGCACAGAGAGGCAAAAGCGTGGCCCCTGCCCTGGAGGGGCTCACGTTCTGGATGGTTTTCCATCCCTAGAAGTGTTTAGGCAGAGGCTGGGCATGTTGTAGAGGGCATTATTGTTGGGGTGGGGGTCGGACAGACGGTCTTGCCTTCCGACTCCGCGTGACAAGGACAGCTGGGGGGCCGCTAGTCACGTCACGCTCCCCGTTTCTTTGTTGCAGGTTCCTGTGCTACCAGCCAGCACTGTGTGCCAGAAGGTGATCCCAGTGGCCCTGCTTCTGATCCTCTTTGGACTGGTGGCCAATTATGGCTTGCCAAACTGACTAGAGAAGGAGAAGAGAAGGTGGCCACTGCTGGACTCTGGTCCACCCTCTGGTCTGCCACCCTGGAGGTGGAAATCTGCCTGGTTAGCTTAGTGTTTTGGTTTAAAAATTTTTTAATAATGGTTTTTGATGAAACCCTTTATTCTATGTAAGCCTTGAGACAGTGCTGGGACACTGCTGAGGTTTCACATGGGTCTGCTGTTCATATTTTTAAAAGAGAAGTGATTTAAGTAATATTCGGTTGTTGCTGGATAACTTCCTGGTTGGCTGGTTTGGAAAGGCTCAGTCCAGGGAATCAGAAACTCTGGCTTTGCTTTTCTTAAGAACCATCCTAGTAAAAGGTGCTTCCATTCTCAGGAACGGGCATCTCGGGTATTGGCTCTGCTGGCACTGGTGGGTCAGAGAAGGAATGCTGGTCATCCTTTAACACTGGGACGCCCACTGCAAAAATGTTTTAAAAATCTTCTGGTAAAGATTTTTTTTTGAGGGGCTGAATAAACAAATAAATAAATGAGCAAACACTATCTTGGCTTCCGGTGTCTAGTGTCTAGAGGTGTTTCTGCGCCATAGACTGGCTGAGCCGGAGGACTGGGTACGTTTTATGCTACATCTATATGAAGGTGGGTCAGAACTAGAAAGCAGAGAGGACTCGAGGTGTGTGAGCACACAGCTGAGAGCCAGAAGGGCCATCAGAGTCCTCCAAGTCCCTCATTTTACAGACCAGAGAAGGCCCAGACCTAGCCACGCTGAGTACCTAAAGAAGCAGCAGTGCCAGAGACTGACCCCGAGTCCTGGACTCCCAGCCTTTTCACCTCGTGTGGTCTCAGATGCATTCCAGCAAGGTGGAGTCAGAAGGGACCTCTTAGACCAATTATAGCAAATCACTCATTTTACGGATGAGGAGACAGAGAACAGACCCGAGGTTATGTAAAGCAGTGGCAGAGTCAGGATGGGAACGTGGTGAGTAAGGATCTCAGTCCCAGAGAAAGTTTTCAGAGATCAGAGGTTCTTAAGCAGGGGACCATGAACTTAAAAAAAAAATGCATTTTGATAACCATTGTGCAGTATAGTTGGTTTCCTTTGTAAGCTTCTGTGTTCTGTTTTGTATATTTAGAAACGTGATTCTGAGAAGGAGCCCCTGGGCTTTGCCAGAGGGGTCCATGTCCCCAGACTAGTGAAGAACCCTTGCTGGAGACGCAGCAGGGGCTGGTGGGAACACCTCTGGACCTGGGGTCAGCAAGGCCTGAGCCTGAGTCCCAGCACCTTCCCCCTGGGCTGCCTGGCCCACAGCCACCTGCCCAGGGTCCAGCTATGGTCATCAAGGCTTTTCCATCTACTTCCTCCTGGCCACTTCCCTCCACTCTTTCCTAATTTGGGAGGGGCCAAGCAGAGCAAGGCTTACCCCTCCTGCGTGTGACAAGCCAAATAGCCCCAGTTACTCAATCCCAGAAGCCAAGAGTGAGGCGGGGAGATCAGTGAGACTCGAAGGGCGAGGCCCACAGAGACATTTCATGACCACACAGCGGTGATTATTAACACCCACTCATCATTGGTGCTGGGGAAGCACATCCTCTTTGATCCCTATAACGACCCTGAGAGGGAAACTGTAATGATCATTTGGCCCATTTCACAGATGAGGAAAGTGGGGCTCACTGAAATGACTTACCCAGAGTCACACAAATCTCAGAGCTGAAAGGGGCTTCCGAGGCTGCATAACAAGTCAGTGGCAGGGGGGTGGCTAGACGGTGCAGTAGACAGAGCACCAGCCTTGGATTCAGGAAGACCCGAGTTCAAATCTGGCCTCAGACACTTGACACTTACTAGCTGTGTGACCCTGAGCAAGTCACTTCACCCCACTGCCTAGTCAAAAAAAAAAAAACCAAGTCAGTGGCAGAATCCAGATCTAGATTTAGGGTCAGAAAGACTTTTGTTTGAGCCCTGCTTCAGGGATGGGTGAGTCACCTGTAAAATGGGGGTAATGAGGAGCTGAGGAGCTCCCTGAGGGAAAGGGCTGAGAGGGAGAAGAGGCCTAGAGCCCCCCTCTTTCCTGGCTCCGGCAGTGAACGGCAGCAGGGACGTTGGGGGTGCCGGCGTGGTCGCGAGAAGGTGGTTTAAGGAAGGGCTGGAGCTGCCCAGTCTGCTGGCTGCGGGAGAGCTGAAGGGGAGCCCCGTCAGCAGCCAGTGACCAAAGGCCCTGCTCATCTGCAGTCTCAGGGAAGTCACAGAGCTTGGTGGGAGAGCAGGTCTGGTCTCCCCCAGGTCCGCGGATGGATGGACTGCCACTGAGGGGGCTGTCAGGGGTGTGTGTGTGTGTGTGTGTGTGTGTGTGTGTGGTGTGTGTGTGTGTGTGTGTGTGTGTGTGTGTGTGTGTGTGTGTGGTGGTGTACATATATGTGTTCACGTATGGGCATGTTTGTGATGTGTGTGTGTGCACGCATGTGTGTGCGGTGGGGAGAGGAGTCACCCTGGCAGCTGGATGTGGATGCTGGTAGTACAAATCGAGGAGCACCCAGCGGGGGGCAGAGCTTCTCAGAGCTGCTGGAGCGGCTGCTCCACTCACGCCTCCTCCCAGCCGTCACAGAGACACAGTGACGCTGCCTGCAGAAGGCTCTGCTAGTGGAGCCCAGCCAGCTGGCCACAGGCCTCTCTGTTGTCTGAGGACCAGCCTGGCTAGGGCACAAACAGCAGCTTATCAAATGCTCATCCTCCTGGGTCTTGGGTTGTCCCCTGACCCCAAGGTCCTGAGGGCAGTTTCTTAGGTTCAAGAGGAGGTAAAGGTCAGAAGTTCTGGACAGGGAATGCTCATTGCCCCAACACAGGAAAACAAATAGGGAGGGCCAAGTGCCTCCTTAGAAAGTGAATTTCCTAACCCCTCCAACCCCCAAAGGCTACATTTTTAGCTCCTCTGGAGGCCGGCCAATCTCAATTCTACATCATTGAGTATAAGTGCAGTCAATGAAGAAGCGCAGCATCTCCAAGGAAAGGGGGAGACCTTCCCCTCGACAGACCGGACATGTCCACTGCGCTCCAAAGGTGTGGGTAATCACAGGCACCTTTTAAAGCCTCCACGTGAAATCGCCCAAGCCCCAGGCCAGCAGCCCCAAAGCTGACCCTAAGTTCAGCATCAGGAAAAGTGGGTAGGGAGACTGCCCTTCCAGGCCCACGTTCTCATCCCAGGTCTGTACTCAGCCACACTGTGGGTGGTGGAAAGAGCCCCTCTGAGTCACGGCCTCAGTTTCCTCACCACACTCTATGTCTTCACGATTTTACTGTGAGGAGGACGACTCGGGGGAAGGCGCAGAGGCAGATTCTGCGAGGGTGGAGGTCAGGAGGTGTTTCCTCCCACAAAGGAAGGGCTGCCTCTGGAGGTGGTAGACTCCCCGCCCCTCCCCTGAAAGCCTTCCAGCAGAGGCTAGGCGGTGGCAAAGGGATTTTGGGGCAGGGCCAGGTATCTCTGGGGAGGCCGCATGGGCTCTCACCTCACCGCCTTGGGAGAGAACCCTCTGGGACCTACGCTAATGCTGGGCTCAGAATTCCTGTCAACTCTCTTCTCCAGACGTGAAATATTTTCAAAGGACGCTTGAAACAAGACAGCCATCAGAGAACATAGGATCAGATGGTGCTCAGAACGCACTTTCTATTTCTCCCTCCCGTTGGGGCCGGCTAGCCCCAACACCAATCCAGAGAGTGGCTCTGGGAGGCAGGGCGGGAGGCCCCCTCTGACAGACAGACAGCAGCCCAGCCCTGGACCCGTTCTTGCAGTCGATCCCAACAGCGCTAGAGTGGCCTCGGCTACACATCCAGGTTCCCCTTCCCCTCCTTCTCTTCCCCTCCTCCTCCTCTTTCCCTTCCTCCTCCTCCTCCTCCTCTTCCCCCTCCTCCTCCATCACTTCCACATGACTATAGGTCTTCCAAGCCTGGAGGTTACAGTTCTTTAGGATGGTCCCCAGCTGCTTCCCGGGCCCCACCTCAAATGTCTGCGGGAACCCGATCCCCTTCCTCCGCTCATAGATGGCATGCATGGTCTGCTCCCACTTCACGGGGGACACGACCTGCTTCACCAGCAGCTGCTGGATGTGTTTGGCATGCATGTACTTAGTGCCGTCCACGTTGGAATGGACAGAAATCAAAGGCTTCTTCACGTCCATTTTCTTTAAGGCTTGAGCCAGCGGCTCCAAAGCGGGCTTCATGAGACGCGTGTGGAACCCTCCGCTGACCGGCAGCATCCTGGTCCTCCTGAAGTGGTACCTGGAGGAATTCTTCTGCAGGAAGTGCAGGGCCTGGGACAGAACAAACAGGTGAAGGCATGAGGGGCCGCAACCAGGGGCGGGCAGCAGCTCCTTTCAGGAGGACCTTGGGGGCACTCTGGCCTTAGGACCTGGGAGGGATGGGCAGGGATGACTGATCCCAGACACAGCCGAGACCCAGAAAAGGGAGATGACGCGCTGCTCGGCGGCAAGGCTGGGACGAGACCCCGTGTCTTCAGGTGGGATGGTGGAAAGAGAACCAGGGCAAACCCCAGGCTTGAACGGCCTCCATCCATCAGCCAGTCAATAAGCAGGCTGGCCTCTGAGGACTGCTCAGCTCCATCACCAGGCCCCCTCCTGCCAGCCGAGCCTATTACTTCCTCCTGGGTCTGCACCCCTAGGCATAGCCACTAACCCTTTTTTTTCTACACTCTTTCCACTGAACACATATGAAGAGCCCGTGGGTTATCCCCAAAGAGCTGTGCCTGCCATGGAGAAGCTTACACTCAAACGGGTGGATGGACAACGCATCTCACTAATTGAACACACAGGATCCACGGGAGAATCACAAAGCACTCTGGGAAAATGTGAGAAGAAAGGAGTTCAAACTGTAGGGAGCAGGGAAGGCTTCCAGGAGGAGGTGACCTCTGAACTGAGCACTGAAGAAAGAGAATTTAGCAGGCCAGGAGGTGAGGGGAGTGCACTCTGGGCATGGAGGATGGCCTGTGCACATGCAGGAAGACCGGTACCAGCCAGGGCAGAGCACGGGGAGCATGGACAGCACAGTTCAGAGGAAGTCGGCGTGTGAGCCACTCAAAACCCAGGCTCCTCCTCAAAAACAACTTCCGCCCTAGCCTTCTAACAAGAAAGGGAGGGCGACCGACTGACCAAAAGAGTCACGGCCAGCGCCTGACCGGAGGCAGGCAGCGCTCATGCACTGTTGGTGGAGCTGCAAATGCAACAAAACGTTCACAACGGCCCCTTTCAGGGGTATCGGGGCCCGTCAGTCAGGGGACGGCTGACTGAGCTGTCTATGGCATCTGAACGCGACGGGGCGGGACCACGGCCATAAAAACGAGGGGCGCGGGCACCTGTGCGAGGTGATGCCGAGCAAAGACGGCAGAGCCAGGAACACAAGCAGCTGCTTTCAGACCGACAGGGCGAGACGACCCTCCTCCGTCAGGGGTGGGGGCCCCAGCTCTGGGACCCTGGGCCAGTCCAGGACGTGAGATGAGGGAGGGTCCGGCTCGGCCCCTCAGTCCCCCGACTGTGCTTCACCACAGAGCTTTGTCACGTGGAAGGGGAAGGGGATGGGGGCTGTCGAGTGTATCCTGAAAAGACTGTGCTGAGAGGCCAGCCCAGCTCTCACCTCTCCCTGCTAGGGCCCCCGGGACCCAGGGACACTGGGTGCTCATCGGGGCCAGCAACGTGACGGAGGCAAGGAATCTGTATCCTGGGGCACCTGTGGCCTCAAGCAAGTTCTACAATCTCTGTGAACCTCAGATCTCCCACCTGCAGAGTAAGGACCGGAGGAGCCCGAGGTCTTTGGACGCCGGGATCCCGGGGGAGGGCGGGGGGCACCTTCCCCAGGAGATGGCCTCTCTGGGAGCTTTGGTCAGACAACGGCCGAGCCGGGTGGTGAAGGTCAGATCTGTGCCTCTTCGAATCCAAGCCCCTCATTTTAGAAATGAGGAAACGAGGCCTAAAGGGCAGTAGGCCACGTGACTGGTGGGAGGCAGGGCGGAGTGGAGGGACCCAGCAGGGGCCACCCTGCCTCGAACACGAGGAGGCCAAGAGCCTGCGCACCGCCCCCTTGGTGACACTGCGCCCAGAGATGCACGCACTGCCTTCCTGGGGGAGGACGCCCAAGGTTCCCTCCTCGCTTCTCATCACAGAATAGAGACAGCTCGGGGGTGACCCAAGGAGGCTGTCACTGCACGTGCACTTGACTAGAGCACCCGACCATTCTCTAGGAGGCCTGGTTGGATCTGAAGCTTGTTAGAACCCAGCACTGAAGCTCAAAGTCGGCGGGGGCTTGGAGACCGATGGTCCAGTTCAGCCCACCAGAGCAGGAAGCCGAGGCCTGAGGGCAAGGGCGGAGCCGGACCCGATGCCGTCTGACCCTTCCACTCTGGCATGTTGCCTCTCATCCACCAGCTCTGTCCAAAGGCCACTGGGCCACCAGGCATCCCCCCAGGCTACCAGGGATGATGTGGAAGAGGCCGAGGACCAGGAGCTGGAGACTGCTCAAGCCCCGCCTCAGCCGCCCACAGGTTGTGGGGCCCGGCAGTGTCACCGCAAGTCACTGCTCTCAGCCTCGGTTTCCCCCTCTGTCAACCTGCACAGCTGCTTCCTCCACCAAGTCCTCCGAACTGCACTGACCTCTAGGCTCTCCAATGCCCTGCCAGCTGACTGTGAGCCCCTCCCATGCTGGGAAGGCTTCTCGGCCCAGCCACAGGGTCGGCCCCCCGTGGAGACCTCTCACAGCTGCTCTAAGGGGGAACGCAGAACAGGCGGAGGGCGTCCTCGCCAGGCTCTTTGGGACGCTGCAATGTCCTGGGCTGGTGGGAGATTCCCAGCTCTGGTGGGAAGCAGTGAATGGCAACTTCCACGTCTCAATCACCCAGAGGCCTCTGCTGTTTCTTGGAGTGAGGCCACTCACCTGGAGGTGCCCAGAGATCACTCGGCAGTCGGGAAAGAGATAGTTGGCCACCTCGCAGACGGGCTGCTCGATGCCCAGGCTCTGGCAGTGCTCTCGTGCATCCAGGCAGGCCGCCTTGTACTGGGTCTGAGGCCTCCCGAGGACCGAGAGCATGCCACTGGGAACAGCTGCAGATGCTTCCTGCATGGCCTCGGCACGCACTCTGACCGCGAGCAGTCCTACCAGGGAGCAAAGGGAACCAGTCAGTCGGTTGGCTGGCACGCGCTCATGACGCTCTCCCACCTCGCCTGGCTCTGGGGCTCAAAAAACAGAGCCAAAGCAGTTCCTGCCCTCCAGGGACTCCTATTCTAGGGCTAGAGACTCGAAGTAAATAGCGGGGAAGCGCGAGATGCAGACAGGAGGAGTGGAAGGGAATGTCAGGGGAGAAGGTGCTACCAGGCTGCGCGGCCCAGGATGGCTTCCCGCAGCAGATCCCAGGAGGCAGAGGGCACCAGGCCTGGGCCGGGCAGCACACGGGAGGGCCCCAGTGGAGCCCCAGCTGGGGCAGCTGGACTGGAGAGCCATGTGGGAGGCAGTTAAGTGTATGGTGGCTGGAAAGGCCCAAAGGTAACTGGGCACCAGTGGAGTAGTTTGGGGGGTGGGGGGAGATGTTGTTGGACCTGGGCTTTACGAAGATTGCCTTGGCAGCTGAGTGGAAGCTGGGTGGGAGAGGGGAGAAACCGAGGCAGGGAGACCAGCCAAAAGGCAGGAGCGGCCCTTCATTCCCTACCAAGTGATGGCCTGTGGTCTCATGGCCTCTCTGAGCCAGAAGGGGCCTCCAGAGGTCACCAGGTCCAGCCTGGCCACCGCCTCTCTGGCACCCCACGTGGCTGGTCCTGCACCCTCCCCTCACTCACAGGCAGTTCTGCAGACCGGGAGGAGACAGCAGCACAACAGAGGCCAAGGGGGCGACGTTCAGAACAGAGATGCGGCAGGAGGACGCTGGGTGCCCAGAGCTGCCTCCAGTACACACTAGCTGTGTGACCTGAGGCAAGGCCCATTCCCTCCAAGCCTCAGTTTCTTCACGTGGACAAATGGAACGTCAACCCTCACAGGATGAAGGTAGGGAGGAGAGAGCCTAGCAGACCCTTCAAGCATCTGCACAGCAGTTCTTCCCCTCGTTGAAAATTGGTGGAATGATCTCAGCACCTCTGGAGGGAGATGAGAAGGCGGAGGGGAGAAGGGACCTGGGGAGGGGGGAGAGAGAGAGAGAGACAGAAAGAGAGACAGAGATAGAGAGAGACAGAGAGGAGAGAGAGAGGGAGACAGAGAGAGAGAGACAGAGAGACAGAGATAGAGAGGAGAGAGACAGACAGAGAGACAGAGAGGAGAGAGAGACAGAGACAGACAGAAACAGAGAGACAGGGAGAGACAGAGAGGAGAGAGACAGAGACAGAGAGACAGACAGAGAGGGAAAGAGAGACAGAGACAGAGAGAGAGAGACACACACACACAGCAAAGAAGAGAGGATGGCTGCTGGACGGAGACAGGAAAGGAGGAGGTTAAGCAGCTGGAGTAGCCTGAGGATTCAGAGAAACAGTCCCTGCCCCCAAAGAGCTCACATTCCTTTGGGAAAGACAACAGGCACATATGCACACAAATGTGCAGACAGAACACATCCCCATGACTGCCAGTAGTTAGGGGTGGGAGAGCTCCACTTCCAGCATCAGGAAGGGCCTCATGCAGAAGACACTTAAGCTGAAGCTTAATGAAGAGATGGAGGTGAGGAGGGAGGGCACTGCCAGCAATGAGGGACACCTTGGGTAAAGGCCTAGAGATGGGAGCTGAGTGACATATTTGAGGAACAGCAGGCAGTCTGGGACAGCTAGATCATGGAGTCCATGACTGTGGAAGAAGGCTGCAAAGGTAGGAAGGGCCCAGTTGTGAGATTTCCATGTCAGATAAAAGATCTTAGATCTTAGATCAGAGTTAATAGGGAGCCACTGGAATTTAATGGAGGTGACATGATCAGACCAAGGCGTTGGGAAAATCATTTTGGTGGCTGTGTGGAAGAGGGGCTGGCATGGGGAGAGGCTGTCGCAGAGGGAGGACCAGCCTTGACCGCAGGGGTCCAGGTAGAGGAGATGCTCGAGCCGTGTGGGGGCCACAGGAAGTGAGAGAGAAGCTACAAGATCTGGAATCTGAGGACACGGGGTGAGGGAGAGAGCAGGTGGGGTGACAAAGTGCAGGTGAATCAGGTGGTGCCCAAGACAGTAACAAGAAAGGTCTAGAGAGGAACAGGTGGGGAAGGGACATAAATAACAAAGGAAAAGCACACATGTGCCACACCCTCTGCAAAGTGTGGGGGTACCACAGAAAGTAAGGCCAGCCCTGTCCTCGGGAAGCCCCCATTCTAGAGGGGGAGGTCTCAGCCAAAAGGTGCCATGGTCCTTAGGGCGCGGTGACAAGAAGGGGGGAGAATTCTTCTTTAATTCATTTCTGAAGACATGACTTCGGTTGTGTAGAATAGACAGCTCTGGGGCATCTAGTTCAAATGTCCACTGGGCAGCTGATGACGTTGCAAGGGAGCTCAGGGGAGAGACTGGGCGAGCTTTATGGATCTGGGATCTCAAGAATAACGGAAGCCATGGGAGCTGACCACGTCACCAGACAGACAGAGCAGGGAAAAAGGGAAAAGGGCCAGGGACAGTCCAGGGTGACACTCATAACCAGGGAAGAGACAAGGACACTAACAGAGCAAGGAGCTCAGCGGTGCAGGCCGAGGGGTGTGACTGACACTGTGACAAGAGGGAAGAAGACATCCTTAGTAGAAGCGAGCTGGGCGTGGTTTGGGGGCGAGGAAAGCTGGACGCCTTGGAAGAACTGCAGAGGGAGCTCTGGGAGCTCACACAGGCGGCCTCAACTTCCTGGTGTGGCAGGAAGGACATGAAGGTGAAATGTGCTATGGAGCTGAACCACGTGCACAGGAACACTTTGGCCCCACTGAAACCGTGCCCTTGCTAACGATGGGGATGGGATCTGGACCCTAAAAGGAAAAGCCCTGGACTTTCCCAATGGTCCAGTATTCCCTACGCCCAATCTCCCAATTCTCTGTTACCTCCCTACTGCCCTTGGCCACTTCCCACCCTTAATCCTTTTAGACTCCATTCTCTCTTAGCCTCTCTTGGTCCAGGTCCCTGGTCTTCTCTGTTACCTCACAGTCATTGCAGACTACCTGGCCACTCCCAGATCCCTCCCACAGTCTTTCGGTATATAAGATCCATCTTAGGCCTCCATTAAGGTGCTCAGCCAACAGCACAGACTCACCAGGAGCCTCGCTCATCCCAATCAATGTTCTTGTCTTTGACTGAAGGAAGGCTTGGGTCGAATTCATTTGGGCAGGACCTGCGTTGCTATTTCGTGGTCCCAGCACCCCTAAACCTCAATGCTGTGACAGAATGGGAGCATCTGGCAGAAGGGAGGAGAACAAAGGACCTCCTCAGAGCTCTGTATATAGACCGGCTTCTTTTTGGTTCAGACCTATGACTTTATCAGTCTTGGAGGGGCATTACCTGGCTTGGCCAGGGTGCCACACCAGCAGGTATCAGGGGCACGTTAGAGCCCAGACCTTCCTGGCTCCAAGGTCGGCCCTCGATACACCATGCCATGCTGCCTCTCGCTACAGCCACCATTTTACAGATGAGGAAACTGAAGCTGAGCAAAGTGAGGGGATGTGCTCCAAGTCACAGCAAGAGTCAGGACCAGGATGGGAAACCAGCTCTTCTGGGGTCAGTGCTCTACCCAATCCAGTCCACTACCTCCCAACTCCACCCCTCTTGCTCCCAAGGCAGAACTGCCACGTAACCGGTGCCACTTCAAACCTTGGCACAAAAGCCCATGCCTGCCACATCCCCGTGGCAAAATTAAAAAAATGTCCTTTGTACCTTCTTCAAATTCTAAGGCACCAGCAAACACAAGGGCTGCAAACTCTCCCACGCTAAATCCAGCTGCAGCAACACAATTCTCGATAACCTGTGGCAAGAGATGCATAACACAAGGTCAAGTCACGAAAGTGGGATCTGAAATAACCAGGGCAAACTGGAGGTACAGGCTGAGCCCGACAGTGTCCTGATGCTCCTCTGTGAGCAACAAGGAAGCCTGTGCTCCTACGAGGAGGATAGGCTTCCAGGAGGGTCACGGTCCCTTCTTGACGACAGGGAACACCACAAGAGAAGCTGATTCCTTCAATACAGAATGAAAAATTTTCAATAGGCCATGTTTGGGTTGTGGGAAAAACTCTGCTCCTTATTGCCTACAGACTTCTCTGCTCTGTCCTCTTGGAACCTCCATTTTCAGGAAAGGCCCAGACCAGTCATGATTCATTCCTCTCTTGGCTCTGCTTCTGACCCTTAGGATCTTGTCACCAAGCCCCTTCACAACTCCTATTATGTGTTGTCTTTTCCCAAGGGCAGGGACTAACTTTCTTTCTGCCTCTATTTCTATCCTCAGCAATTAATACAATGCCTGGCATAGAATAATCATTTAACACATGCTTGTGGTTGACTGCCAACTGGACCATGGTAGAGAAGATAAACTAAAATGGGAGACTACAGAAGAGAAACTGCCGACCACCAATAAATCTGTACGCAGCGTGGGGATGTGTGGAAGTAATTAATACAGACGTTTTCATGGAGTCTGAGGGTGAGGACTTTCTCCCTTTATTTCCCCCTCGTCCATCTTTCCCAATGCGTCCTCTTACGCCTCCAGCCTTGCCAACTCCAGTTACTCCATTCCCCCTGCCTGACAGGTCCTGCACATTACTCTCATAAGCTGGAATGCTTCCGTCCTTCCTCCCACTTTGCTAATCTATGGTCCGTCTCGATAGGAGAGACTGAACACCGGCACTCTCAGGTCTGAGAGCCCTTCTAGATCTGCACCTACGCCCCGTCCGACTCGAGGGTTCTAATTCTTCCCCATTCGACTTGAAATCCCCCTGCACCGCTGGGGTGACGGGGCCCGGACCGTGTCTTTGAAAGCAATCCAGTCCCGGCATCTTCGCATGTATTTCAGCATCCCTGGTGCCTCTGCCCAAGGCACCCAGGCCACCAGAGGTCACAGAATGGGACACCACTGAAAAAGACTGAGCATTCCGGATGCGGGGGGGGGGGTGTCACCTAGACCCACGTGACCGAAGCCTGAAACGAACGAGCAGCTTCCAATAGTCCAAAACGACAAAACTGAGAAAAACCCCAATCTGACAGAGGGAAACATGGAGACATAAAGTGAATTCTGGAATATCTGCTTTATCCCAGGCCCTTCCTTCCGCCAACATTTATGTCTTGAGAGTTTGCAAAGCGCTCTACGCATCTTCCCCTAAACTCTCACAACAGCCTGGGCATGAGATTACTAGTTGTCTATTACAGAGCAGCAGACTGAGCGCAACCAGCAGGGCTGGGGCGGGGTACGGTGGCCGGGAGGGGACGCACGCGCAGCCCGCGGAGGCGGGGGCGGGGCTTACCTCGGGCCGCTGGTGCCGAAGCGCCTCCAGGGCGGCGAGCGAGACCACGTAGAGCGCGGGCTGACAGCGCACCGTGCGCTCCAGCTCCGCGCGCGGCCCGCGCAAACTCAGTTCCAGCAGGTCGTAACCCAGCACGCGCCCGGCGGCGGCGTAGAGCGCGCGCGCGCCCGGGTAGCGGAGAAGCGCGCGCCCCATGCCGACGGCCTGGCTGCCCTGGCCCGGGAAGAGCAGCACCGAGGTGGTCGCGGGGCTTAGTCGAGACCGAGGCCCCCGCTTCGGGCCCGCGTCCACCGTGGCGTCCTTCAGCAGCGCCGCCACGTCCACCGCCTCGGACGGCGGCGGCGGCCCCGCGGGGTCCCGGGCTCGCGAGGACCAGAGGCGCCTCCGGAGCGCGCCTGCCGCCCCAGCGCCGCGCCGGAGCCGGACCGCCATGACTGACGCCGCCAGCGTCGGGTCCCCCCCCCCCGTTGTCTAGCGACCGCCCGGCGCTCCTGTGCGGAAGGCCGCGTGGGTGCGCGCGCAGCTCCATCCGGGCCCCGTGCGCGGAAACCGGAGCCCGGGAGAAAAGTTCCTCCTCCCTGCAGCGCCCTCTGCCTCTCTCCTCTCTCCTTAATTATAATAGTAAATATAACGAATTTTAATAATACAACAATAAAGGGGACAGCCGCCACTTCTGTGACGCTTCAAGGTTTGCAAAGCGCGCCCTTCCCTACATTTGTGGGAGGGTCAATCAAGGTCCTTTGACAGCTGAGCGACTGAGGCTCAGAGAGGGTGAGCCTCTTATCCACGGTCATGCAGCATGCTAGCGCTAGGTTCATCGCCCTAGATCTGGAAGGCACCTCAGAAGCCATCTAGTCCAACGCTCATTTGACAGATAGAAAAACTGAGGTCCAGGGTAGGAAGTGACTTGCCCAAGGTCTTCACATGTGGGGCTCCCCTGTGTCTCCAAGCAGCTGTAGCACGGGCACGGGTCACACATCTTGGCAGATGGCCAAAGCAGGTTTGAGGGTAACCCGCAGGCCCGTCGGCGAATTAGGGGGCTGTCTACCCCAAGCACGTGAAAACATCCCTGTTGAGAATGGACACGAGCACAGTTGGATGCAGCCCTGCGTGGAGGCAGCTGAAGCAGGCGCTGTGGGCCCTGAGAGCGGGGGCAGACGAGGTCGCCCGCTGCCCACGGCCAGTCACCCTGACTTTGTCCTGCTGCCGGACCGCGGTGACTGAAGGAGAAAGCGAGGCTGGCGCGGTTCAGCTCTGCCTCACTCTCCAGTTCACACAAGGCCTTTCTCCTCCAGGCCTGGCTTCTTCACCTGTAAAATGAGGACAAAGAGCAGCCTGGCCTAGAGGGCGGAGAGCTAGGTTCAGCCTTCCAGGCAGGAAGATGCGGGTGTGCGTGTCCTGCCTTCTCGTGCCTCCTGGCTGTGGGGCCTCGGTTCACCTCTCAGTGCCAGGCAGGTGCCTCTGCTTCGGTACAGAAAGAGGTCCCCAAACAGATGGCATCGCTGGTAGGTCTAGACCCCTCCCCCTCCCCAAATGAGTAGAAGGATTGAGCTGTTGAAGAAAGTGCTGGCAAAGTGCACCCTGGACAGGTGTGTGGCCATCCCTCGTGGCGGTGCTGGGGATCACCCCAGAAAATGGGATTTCATTCTAGTCTCCACCTGTAGGCAGCATTTCCCCAAAGGCAAGATGGTAGACACACTGGCAAGTGTGGTGTTGTTAATGATGATAAAGAGGATGAGGATGAGGATGGCAATGGGCAAGGAGCTCTGGCTCAGGAGGCCCAGGACCTGGGTTCAAATCCTGCCTCTGGTGCTTATGACATGTGTGATTGCCTAGGGCCAGTCAGTTAACCTCCCAGAGCCCGGGCTTCTCCAGCTGGAGTTTCCCTCCCTTTCCCACCCCCTCCCAGCCTGAGATCTAGGACCCCTGGGCCTGGTCCTTAGGGGTTCCTTTGGGCTCTGGGAGCCTGTGACCCAGTGACTGGGTGGGAGTAGGGAAGGTTCCACGGAGGACTTGGCTACACAGCTGCATCATGAAGGATGAGAAGGGTTCCAGGATGAGGAAGGAGTGTCCCCCAGACCCAAATGTATGATGAGCAGAGGCAGCGCGTGGGCATATCTGGGAACAGCTTGCTGGTCAATGTTTCCTGGAAAGTGGAGGGTGCCAGGGAACATCCCATGAAATCAGACCAGACTGGGGAGGGCCTTCGATGCCAGGCTGAGCCCTGGCAGCATGAGATGTCACTGAAGATTGTGGGCCAATGACTCCATGGCCTCTGAGGTCCCTTGGAGTTCTGGATCTGTGATCCTAGGGTCCCAAGTCACAACCTCTCTGGGCTTCAGTTTTCTCATCTATAGAAAATGGGGGTGTGTGGGTTGGACTGTATAATTACCTAAGGTCCCTTCCAGTTTTACATACATACTATGAATATAAATCTGGGCCCTGACATTCAGCAGCTGGGTGACCTTGAGCCAATAGCTTCAGTTTTCCAATCTGCCAAATGGGAACAATGACCTTTTCCCTATTAGGGTTGTGATTTCTCTAACTTAGCCTTTAGTCTTAGATGAAGGTCACTGGTAGCAGACTTGCTCAGGGTCACATGAACAGTGTCAGAGTCCAGATTTGTACCCAGGTCTTCCAGTCTCCCAGTTTAGAGCTCTGTCTGCCGAGTCTCACTGCCTCCCTCGGCCTTAAAAGGGAGGGCTTCTCCTTCATTCTGCCCTCTGCTGTTTTGCCAACCAGTCACAGACCCTCCCGGGGCCTCAGGCTTCTTAACTGTGATTTGTAGGGACTGGACCAGAAAATTTCTGAGAATCCATGAGAATGTTGTTACCATAAGGTTTAGGAGGATCATGGGATCACAGATTTACATGGGAAAGGGACCGTAGAGGTCATCTAGTCCATTTTACAGATGAGGAAACTGAGACCCCCCAAGAGCAAAAAGTGGCTTATCCAAGGTCATTCAAGTAGTAAGTAGCACAGTCAGGATTTGAACCCACGTCTTATGATGCCTGACATCCCACCTCTTTCCCTGTGACCAAGTGGGTGAATGAATGAATGAAGTGTTTATTAAGCACTTCCCATGTGCCCAGCACTGAGCTAACTGCTGGGAATACAAACAGAAAAGTCTGACTGGCCGTTGCCTTCAGGGAACTCCCATTCTAATGGGAGAGACCACACACAGTCACAGGGGAAGGTGGCCTGGGCCTTAGGGGGCAGCATCAAAGCAGGTGGTCAGGCCTTACCCTTAATGCCATTTCCCCTGACCAAGTTCTGACTCTGAACCGTTATTCAGCTTTCACTGACTAGGCGCCTACTTACTATGTGCAAGGAGAGGCTGGGATGGGTGGAAGGAATTGGGGCTGTTTAGGCTGAAGAACTGAATGGGTGGAGGGGGAGGGCGGGGCCGGCTCAAGGAAAGGGAATCAGCCTTGTTGGGCTCCGCCCGGAGGGGCTGTCCCGAGATACTCCAAAGAGGACAACTGAGGTTTGATCTCAGCGTCTTGTCCCAGAGTGGAATGACTCAGCTGCCTTGGTAGGTAAGGAATTCCTCGTCCACAGAGGTCCTTGAACAAAGTCTGGACACAAGGTAGAGAAATGGCAAACCTCAAACCCCAAATGGGGTCACAGAGAGTCGACGGACTGAAAAGACTGAGCAACGTCCCCAGCTCTGGCATATAATAGATACTTATTAACTGTCCCGCATCTGTGACTCAGTTTATCCCTCGGTAAAATGAGGGGTTAGTTCTCTCTGTGGCTGCCATTCTGGAATCTCTTGATCCCAAGGTCTCTGGCAGGAGCAGGGGCTGCTCAGGGAAGGATTCTGGGGCTGCGGGGAGCGAGATGGGGCCATATAGGAACAGGGCGGGTGGGGCCGAGGGGCCAGAGAACCAGCTTAATGGTGGAATCGGAACCATCGGCAGAACGTGCACCTGCAGCTAGCCAGAGGCCACAAGGGGGAAGATTACGGCTGGAGGCCGAGACTTGGGGGTCAGCGGCAGGAGGCCATGAGTGGATGAGCCGGGGTGTCTGGGGCTGGGGGAAGAGCCCTGGATGATGGCCCCGGGAGGGGCGGGGAGGCCCGGGAGCCCAAGAGAAGTCCGAGAACAAAGGGTCTGAGAGGTGGCCAGAGAGCCCACAGCACCGAGGGCGTCGGAATAACCATCATTCACTGGTCGACGAGGCTCTGTCGTGCCCAAAGCGCTTTCTTCCCTAGAGCACTGAGGCGGGACGGAGCCATTTGGGCAAAGCAGAATGGAAACACCTGACCTGCCTCAAGTCCGGAAGCCCGCGGTTCAAGTGGCGTACCGGACTCCCCTGACTGTGTGACTTCGGCCTCTAAGGCCGTCGGAGTTATCTTTTGCATTTGTGGAAGGAGTTTCCTCCCTGATGAAATCACTGGTCTGGACTAACAAAAACACAGATGGGGAAACTGAGGCTCCGATAAGTTGAAGGACTAGCTAAGGGTCCCCCAGAAAGACGGGTAGTGTCCGAGGGGAGATCGGGTGCTAAGGCGCGGCGGTTTTCCAGTGGGCGGCTTCTGGCCCAGCCCAGGCTGGGGCGGGCTGGGCGGGCTGGGCGGGCCCTGCCTGGGAGGGGCGGGATTGGCTGCCACCTCCTCGGCTGTCTTCGGTCTGGGCCGCTCCGGTGCGCACCTTCCATTCATTCGCTGCCCCTGCTGAACCTCCAGGTGAGTGAGTCGTGGCCCCGCGCGTCCTGCTGCCCTCTCGCAGCCGCCGGGGCTGAGCTGGGCTCTCTCCCTGGGGCCCGATTGTCCCTCTCTAGCCCGGCTCTCATCCTGCCGTCCCGGGGCACGGCCTGGGGTGTTGGGGCGGGATTTGAAAGGGCCCTAGCCTGAGTTGCGAGCTTTGCCTTTTCCTTCGGGCTGTGGCCGCTCCCTCTCCGGGCCTCCGTTTTCCTGTCTGCTAAATGACGCTGTTGGACTGAATGCGCCCCAAGCCCCTTCGCAGCTCTCACAGTCTGTCATTCTGTGATCTTAAAGATCCCGTCTCCTCACCCCCGCCTCGTTTTACACGTGAAGAAGCTGCCGCCGCATTTAGGCTTGTTCTGGGGCCCTACCCTGCCCCATGTCCCTAGCCTTCGAGGTGCTGTGAGGCCTCCTCTACACTGAAAGAGAGCCCCCGACAGGACAGCAGGTGCTAAGGGGCAGCCTGGCCCGGCCCAGCCCTTCTCCTTTGCTTCTTCCCGGGGCACCTAGCGCCTCATTCTCCCACTTCTCCTTTCTGGGTCGGACATATGTAATGAGGTGGAAGGTAAAGATTCAGAAACAGTTCTGGGAGGGACCTTTGGGACCATGAAGTCCAATTTCCTCATTTTACAGATGAGGCAATTGGGAAGGGGATTGATTGCCCAAGCAGTCACAGACTTGTTTAGCAACGGACTGGGGCAGCCAAAAACTTCCTGCCACTTAGAGCTATCCCAAGGTGGAACAGATCCCCCCCCCCCCGGAGGCAGTGAGTTCCCTACTGATTCCCGCTAAGATTGGCCGGAATACCCTCTGACGTTCCAAAAGGCTGAGATTTCTTTGGTTTCTAAGTGGCTAGATTGGAACCAGAGCCCCTGGGAATCTTCTGGCCGTCAGCCCAGGCCAATTTTTATTACTGGAGGTGTGAAGAGGAGTTCTGAGTCAGCCACCCGGAACCTGGAGGAGAGGAGAAACTGGAAGGGCTGGTGGGCATCCTCTCTGCCCAGGGGCCACGTTTAAATTCCTCTGATGTTCTTCTTAGAGGTGCTGTCTCCTTAGTTCTGGGACTGGTGGGCAGGCTTCGCCTGCAGGGGTGGAGGCCAGCCAGCCTGGGGGAGGAGAGGCCTTATCCTGAGGAAATCAGCACATTCTTTTTGTGGACTGGTCAGGACCCACAGCTCTCGGTAAACTTTCTGGCAGAGTAAGGGATAGCAGGGGCTCCCCCCCTGCTTTTTACAGGTAAGGAAACAAGACCCAGAGAGGCTGCAGCTTGCCCAGGCCACACATGGTATCAAGGCAGAAAGTTACAACACAGCAGACCTCTGGGTCGCTCACTCACCCCAGGGATGACCTTCTTGCCCCACACTCCAGGGAAGCCCCTCAAGATTTGGCACAAAGAAAGTTAGGGTACAAGTGTGGGACTGAACACTGACTTGCAGCTGGCTCTTCACCAGGGGGTGAAAAAGAGCTGGAGGCCTCAGTGGCCCAAGAGCTCAGGTGAGCCAATAGTGTCCCAGAGCAGCTGCAAGAGCCTCCATCCTGGTTGGGGATGTGAGCCCCTTCCATCTTGTCTCCTTCCCTTGACAGGCTGGGATGAACTCCTTCTGGCCTTCCAGCATTAAACTGTAGTTTGTCCTTTGTCCTAGAAGAGGACCATGACATCGGGAGATGATGCCATGGCATGCAAGTGAATTGGGTTGAAGTGAGGGAGGGCTGTTATTAAGGACCTGCTGTGTGCCTAGCCCTGTGCTAGGTACTGGGAGTATAAAGCCAACAACGGGGCCTGCCCTCCAGAGGCTCATTTATCTCTGCCTTGTAGATTCCCTTCTCCCTTGGAAGCGGCCTCTTAATTTCTTTCATCCCTCTGGTGTCTAGAGGCCCCTCCTCCCTCAAACTTAGCTTTTGTACTTAACTTTGTATCTACTTGGATCATACTTGCTATTTGTCTGTGTAAACTTGTCTCCTGGTAGAACTGCAGGGATTGTGTTCCGTTTTTGTCTTTGTATGCTCAGCCTCAGGCTCAGGCCTGGTATGGAACAGAAGGTGTTTACTGAAGTCCTCAGTGATGAATGGGGAATGATGGCCATCAGCCTCCTGGGAAGGAACAATTCCCCCAAAGTCCTTTCCTGAGGAAGGGGAGGCTGCATTTTGGGGCTGGGTCTTCAGCACCATCAAAGGCCTTCTGCCTGGCAGAGTCGGCCAGAATGGCCTCTGAGATTCTGGGCTTCTGTGACGGTAATCACAGTCAGGCTGTCCCCATGGAGCTGCGGAAGGGACCAGACCGCCAGGGCCTCCTCCCACCATGGGTGAGTGCCTTCCCTTCCAGGCCCTGAAAGCAAATGCTGGCAAATCAGAATGGCACCAAATGCAACTGGGTGCTGGCCTTCACTAGCTCCTTCCCTGCTATTTCCAAAGACTTTTGGACCTTAAGAAGGTTTCCTGTCTTGTCTGTGCAACCATGCCTGAGCACTGGGCCTCCCTTTGATGCTCAATTGCATTAAATGCCATTCCAGGCTGGGCCTGGGGGTCATGAAAGGAAGGCCAGTCCCCCTGCCCTCTGCCCTGGTCAGACAACACTGGAGGATTGGGTTCAGTTCTTGGCATCTTGGCATCACTGACAATGGTCGAGAGCATCCAGAGGAGGGTATAGGGCACTACACTTGGAAGCCAGAAAGACCTGCATTGTAATCCCACTTCTGACACTTAGTAGCTGTGTGGCCCTGGCTAAGTCACTTCCCTTCCCTCTCAGACCCTCATTTTTCTCATCCACCCACTGTGTTACGGTAGGGAAGTCACTTAGCCTCTCTGTGACTCCTTATCTGTAACATGAGGTGGGGGAGGTCTTCAAATCTGTGGCCCTTCACAGGGAAGGCAGCTTATCTGGTCCTGAGACAACCCATAGACACAGTTCAGCACCAGGTCCACCCTGGAAGGCTTTCTGGCACAGTAGGACTGGATAGAGCTTGTCTACAGCCTAGGAAACTCAAGCTCATCTGGATTGGAGGAGTCCAGTGTGATCCCCTTTTACAGATAAGAAAACTGAGGCTGAGAAGGGATGATAGATTTAGAGTGAGAAGAGACCCTGGGGAATCTTCTCTCATTTTACAGATGGGGAAACTGAGGTTCTGAGAGTCTCATAAAGGTGAGCTCATACTAGCTTGCTTTCTCGTTGTCCTTCCACTTCTATAAATATATACTTGTTTGACTCTCACTGCAGCCTCATGAGGGAATTGGGTGGGGTTACTAGTCCCTGTTTTGCAGATGAGGCTCCCAGAAGGAAGGGACCTTCCCAAGCCTGCAGAGCTGGGAAGTGGCAGCCCTGGGAGGCCAGGAGGGAAACCTCACGCCAGGGATCCTGCTGTGCCCAGAAACTCCACCCAGGCTGCTCAGCAGGGCTGAGGAGGCCAGACCCTATAAATGTGCAGAGTCATCCTGGCCCTGGCACCTGGGTGGCTGGCAGAGGCCCAGGGGGCTGGGAATCAACTGAGGCTCTTACAACCATTTGTACAGGGAGTGAAGGCCAAGGTGTTTGGTCTTAAGGGAATGAAAGAAGTCAGAGAGAGAGAGAGAGAGAGAGAGAGAGAGAGAGAGAGAGAGAGAGAGAGAGAGAGAGAGAGAGAGAGAGAGAGAGAGAGAGAAGGAGGGAGAGAGGAAGAAAAAGAAAGAGAGGGAGGGAGAGGAGAGGAGAGAGAGAGAGAAGGAGGGAGAGAGGAAGAAGAGAAGAGAAAAGAGAGAAAGGGAGGGAGAGGAGAGAGAGACAGAGGAGAGACAGAGACAGACAGAGAAAGAGGGGGGAGAGAGAGAGGGAGAGGAGAGAAAGAAGGAGAAGAGAAGAGAAAAGAGAGGAGGGAGGGAGAGGAGAGGAGAGAGATGGAAGAAGGAGGGAGAGAGGAAGAAGAGAAAAGAGAGAAAGGGAGGGAGAGGAGAGAGACAGAAAAAGAGGAGGGAGGGAGAGAAAGAGACACAGAGGAGAGACAGAGACAGACAGAGAGAGGGGGGAGAGAGACAGAGACAGAGAAAGAGAGGGGTGGGAGAGAGGAGAAAGAGAGGGAGAGGAGAGAGACAGAGACAGAGGAGAGACAGAGACAGACAGAGAAAGAAAGGGGGGACCAACTGATAAATGGTCAAAGGATATGAACAGAGAGTTCTCAGATGAAGAAATGAAAGCCATCTATAGTCATATGAAAAAATGCTCTAAATCGTTATTGATTAGAGAAATGCAAATCAAAACAACTCTGAGGTACCACATCACACCTATCAGATTGGCCAACATGACAAAACAGGAAAATGATAAACGTTGGAGAGGATGTGGGAAAATTGGAACGCTAATACATTGTTGGTGGAGTTGTGAAATGATCCAACCATTTTGGAGAGCAATTTGGAACTATGCCCAAAGGGCTACAAATATGTGCATACCCTTTGACCCAGCAATAGCACTTCTAGGGCTATATCCCAAAGAGATCAAACAAATGGGAAAAGGACCCACATGTACAAAAATATTCATAGCAGCTCTTTCTGTGGTGGCCAAGAATTGAAAATTGAGAGGATGCCCATCAATTGGGGAATGACTGAGCAAGTCATGGTATATGAATGTAATGGAATACTATTGTGCTATAAGAAATGATGAACAGGCTGACTTCAGAAAAACCTGGAAAGACTTACATGGTCTGATGCTGAGTGAAGTGAGCAGAACCAAGAGGACTTTGTACACAATAACAGCCACGTTATGCGATGACTAATATTGTTAAACTGAACCCTTCTCAGCATTATGAGGATCTAAGACATCTCCAGAGGCCTCGGGATGGAAAATGCTGTCCATATCCAAAGAAAGAACTATGGAAGTCGAATTGCTATCACTTACTTTTACCTTCCGTTGCGTTTTGTTTCCTCTTTCTGGTGGTTCCTCCTATTGGTTTTAATTTTTACTTATAACTTCACTAATGTGAAAATATGTTTAATGGGTATGTAAATGTAAAGCCTATATCAGATTGTGCGCCATCTTGGGGAGGGTGGGGGGAGGAAGGGGGAGAAAAATTTTCAACTCAAAAGCATATGGAAGTGATTGTTGATAAATCAAAATAAGTTAAAAAAAAAGAAAGAAAGAGAGGGGGGAGAAAGAGAGAGAGGAGAGAGGAGTGGGGGGAGAGAGAGAGAGGGAAGAAGGAGGGAGAGAGGAAGAAGAGAAGAGAAAAGAGAGGGAGGGAGAGGTGAGAGAGACAGAGAAAAAGAGGAGGGAAGGAGACAGAGACAGACAGAGAAAGAGAGGGGGGAGAGAGACAGACAGAGGACAGAGAGAGAGAGAAAGGAAGGAGAAGAGAAAAGAGAAAGAGAGGGAGGGAGAGGAGAGGAGACAGAGAGAAGGAGGGAGAGAGGAAGAAGAAGAGAAGAGAAAAGAGAAAGGGAGGGAGAGGAGAGAGAAAAAGAGGAGGGAGGGAGAAAGACAGAAAGACAGGAGAGACAGAGACAGAGAAAGAGAGAGGAGAGAGGAGTGAGAGAGAGAGACAGAGAGACAGAGAGACAGAGAGAGAAGAGAGGGAGCCAGGCTTAGGGAGAAGAGCTCCCATGAGCTGGAAGAAGGTCTTGGTTATCTGTCTGGTGAGAGCCTGGACAGTGAGAAGAACCCTTAGCTGGGTGTCAGGGGCCTGAGTTCTCATCCCAGCTGCGTTGATAATCATAACTCGGGCCTGCAGAGAGCCTGGCGTTTTGTAAAGCACTTTGATCACCATGGCCCAGTGAGGTCAATAGTGTGAGTCTCAGTATCCCCATTTCACAGATGAGGAAACTGAAGCTCCCATTCACTGAATGACTCCCCAGCTGGGAAGTACCAGAGCCTAGTCTCCCAGCTCAAAGTCCAGGGCTTTCATAACACACCATGGTCTTACAGGCCATGCCTGTAATCCCCGCCTCCCACCTGCTCTAGTGGGACCTGCCTCTTGCCTTCCTTGCTGCTCCCTTCCTGCTTTTCATCACATGTCGATCTGAATTTGGCTCTGAGCTGAGAGAGCTAAGGGGGGACCTGTGTACTCCACAGCCCATGGGTGCCTCAGGCCAACAGGAGCAAGTGAGGGCACGTCCACATCTTTCTTCCTTCATGGGACCTAGAAGGAGGGTTCTAAGACACCAGAGCCAGGACCTCAGGGCCACAGGCTTTGCAGCAGCCGTGATAAGAACAGCCACGTTTAAAGCAGTTTACACCTAGGTAATACCGGTATTAACGGACACTTTTGAAATGGCAAAAACAGCAGGCTGGGCCAGTATCCTAACAAAACCCCACACGACATGAACAAAATATCAGGCCCGTTGCCCTAAGGCATCTGGAGAAAGACTTCCACTTCCATGCAGACAAGGAGAAAAAAGACATGCGTCAGGACCGAGCATGTGATGTGCAGCTTAAAAGAAATATTTTTTGAATAAGATGGTGGCTCCTTCACTGATGAACAGTCGAGGCTACCAGCAGGCACATGCCACCAGGTTTGCTGAATGTGACCGATGCTGGCCCCTCAACTCTGATTGAGCTGATGAAATTAGAAAGCTTTAAGAGCAGAATGGAAAGACCCTCTAGGGGTGACACCCACAGGAACCTGGCAATGCTACATCAAGAAGAAAAGGCGGCTAAGCCCTGCAGATATGTCTATGGAAACGAGGGGTTAATGGCAGGCAATTCAGGGTGAGGTTATTGCCACTAGAAACTGAACAGGGGTTCCTTAGGGATCCCCAACTTAGTGACCGATGTGGGTGATACAGGAAAATGGTGGAGAGCTGCTGGGTGTAAAGAGTTTAGCACCAACTGAATACTTAAGACATGACGTGGTAGCGAGACTTATACCATCCATCAGAACCCTGACAGGTGACAAATCCCTAGACTCCAAATGCAGATCTCAAAAAATCTCAGAGAACTCAACCAGCCGACTATGCTGGAACTAGACCATCACCACAGAGCCCACTGTTGCCCCACCCCCAATTCTCTCAACATAATAAGGTTTTAAAAAAATGGGTTTGGTCATCCCAAATACTCATAATCTTTTTTAATATAATATTTTATTTTCCCTAATTACATATTAAAAACTAATTTTTAGAAACATTTAAGGGGCAGGTAGATGGTGCAGTAGATAGAGCACCGGCCCTGAAGTCAGGAGGACCTGAGTTCAAATCTGGTCTCAGACTTGTCCCTTACTTGTGTCATACTAGCTGTGTGACCCTGGGCAATTACCTTAAAAAAAACATTTTAAAAAATTTTGAGTACTAAATTCTATCCCTCACTTCCTCCATCCCCCCTCCTCTTCTCTGAGATGGAAAGTAATCAAATATAGGTTATATGTGTGCAATCAGGTAAAACATTTCCATCTTAGTCATTCTGTGCAAGAATGAAAGAAAGTGAAAAATAGTGTGCTTCAGTCTGCATTCAGACAACATCAGTTCTTTCTCTGGAGACGGACAGTGTGTATGCTTCATCATTAGTCCTTTGGGATTGTCTTGGATCATCACATTGCTGAGGAGAGCCAAGTCATTCACAGTTCTGTATTGCACAATGTTGCTATTACTATGTACAACGTTCTCCTGGTTCTGCTCACTTCACTCAGCATCAGACCGTACAAGTCTTTCCAGGTTTTCCTGAAGTCAGCCTGTTCATCATTTCTTATAGCACAAATGGTATTCCATCATAATCATATACCATAGCTTGTTCAGCCATCCCCCAATGAATGGGCATCCCCTCAATTTCCAATTCTTGGCCACCACAGAAAGAGCTGCTATAAATATTTTTGTACAAATAGGTCCTTTTCCTTTTTCTTTGATCTCTTTGGGATACAGACCTAGAAGTGCTATTGCTGGGTCAAAGGATATGCATATTTTTATAGTCCTTTGGGCATAGTTCCAAATTGTTCTCCAGAATGGTTGGATCAGCTCACAACTCTGACAACAATGCATTAGTGTCCCAATTTTCCCACATCCCCTCCTACATTTACCATTTTCCTTTTTGTCATATTACTCAGATAGGTGTGAGGTGGCACCTCGGAGTTATTTTAACCAAATACTCATAATCTTTAAGTTATAATGAACAAAAACCTCTCAAAACACAGAGACTTAACAAAGATCAGGACTGTGAAGAAACAGATGAGGCGTTTCCCTACCATCCCCGTCAGCCCGCTGGCTGCTGGGCTGCCCCAGTGCTGCTTGCAGTCAGCCGACAAAGCATGTGCTCAGATCCCAATACTTTTATTCAGTGATAAAAAGTAGTTCTTTTATCTGCCTGTGCAACAGCTCCCTGGACACTAGATATAAAAGAATAGTGGCAGAATGGCAATTTGTCCCAGGGCCATCCAAAAATTGAAGGGTGATGATAATAATGAGAATGAGATGATAACAATAGTGTAGAGTCAGAATGAGAACTGAACCTTCTGCCTCCTGGCCTGGCCCGGCCCCGCCCAGCCCACACTGCTCTAAACTCCAGCCACCCAACCCTAACAGAACCCCTGTCTTTTGTCTTTCAGAGAGCACACCAGACATGGCGCCCTCATGGGTCCCTGCGGTCGGTTTCACACTGTTCCCGAACATTGGTGGGATCCTGGGATCCCGGATCACAAGCCAGGAGGTTCCAACATGGTATGCAACTCTGAAGAAGCCATCATGGCATCCACCCTACTGGACGCTGGGTCCCGTCTGGGGCACGTTGTACACGGCTATGGGGTAGGTCCATCATAGATTTAAATACCAAACACACAAAGTAGAATTAGAATCACAGATTCTGAGTTAGAAGGGAATCACTTCCCACTTGGTACAGGAATCTTCTCTAGGGTGCCTCTGGCAGGTGGTCATTCAACCTTTGCTTGGATACTTCTGGTGATGGGGATCTCAGTACTTCACAAAGCAATCCATTCAATTATTGGACTGCTCTGATTTTCATAAAGTCTTTTGTCTGTTAAGTCACAGCAGCATGGTAGGTCGGTAAGAACACGGATACAGTTGTCATTTGGACCTTCAGCAGCCTTGCTGATGAAGCCTGCGTCCTGGCTCTCAGCAAAGAAGTGGTGGGCTCCAGGTGTGGAGTGAGGCACACGTTGTTTGCTCTACGTGGCTGCACTTTTTATTCACTAGAGAGGTTCTCTTTGGTGGGGGTGGGGGAGGGGGGAGAGGGGAACCCTCGGAGAAATTGATGTCAATGGGACAGTGATGGAAAAAGAGGCATCGATAAAACGTGAATCAATGACAGCAAAAACAAAAACATTGGCTCTGGAGATCTGGGTCCAACTCACAGCTCCATTACTTACCATGTGACCTTGGACAGGTCACCTCTTGGGACCTCAGTTTCCTCTGCTGTAAAACAAGGAAATTGGCCTAGGGCCCTCCAAGCACCCGTCCATCCCTAAGGCCATCCTCTGGTGCAGGTTGTCACCTTTGCTCTTGGCCCTTTCAGGCCAGCCAGGACAAGTGGGATCCCTCTTTCTGGGGACGTGGTTTGAAGGCATCTATCATCTCATCCCATAAATCTATCCCAAAGTGCAGTGAGGCACCAGGAGGCAGTGAGTTCCCCATCACTGTCTGCCTTCAGGTGGAGGCTGCGTGTCATTTGTAGGGGAGATTCCTGTTTTTCATTCATTCATCCATCCATCCATCCAGCATTTATTAAGTGCACGCTACAAGCTGCAGGCTGTGCTAAGTGCTTAGGATACAAAGACAAAAGTAAAACATTGTTTGCCCTTATAGAGCTTACACGCTATTGGGAGAGATAACATAATGTGAACATAAAACTATATATAAATAGATAGAAAGTAGATTCAAAATAACTTCTGGAGGTTGGGAGGGGGAGGGCACAAATAGCTCTCCGTGCCTCGGTTTTCCCTGTCTGTGAAATGGGGGGGTTGGGCTCAGTGACCTCCAAGGGCCCTCCTAGCTTGGACACCGGGAAGCTCTGGGCCCTCGATGGACCTACGCTGTTCTTCTCTTCCGGGAACGTTCACCTCTGGATGCAAAAATCCCTCAGCTGCTGTTTGTTATCCTTGGGTTGGGAAGGATGGAGCTGGAAAGATTTGCTTCTTAAGCAGAGGCAGTGTGGAAAGTGTGTTAATTTTGGAGTTAGGGGAGCTGGGTTCACATCCAAGCTCTATCACTTATGACCCATGTGACCTTGGGCAAGTCTATTTCTCCCTCTAAGCCTCAGTTGTCCTATCTGTTCAATGAAGGGGCTAGATGAGATGGTCTCTGAGGTGGCCCTTTTTAGGGGCGACTTTTATGATTCCTGTTTTATAGATGAGGAAACCGAAGCTGAATGAGAAGTGAACTATCCAGGGTCACATGACTAGTAAGTGTGAGAGGCAGGATTTGAACCCAGGCCATCTTGACTTCAGGTCCTAGTGGTCTAGCTTCTGTTCCAGCCGCCTCAGGCATATTCTGGGCCCCTGGGTGCTGAGCCTTAGAATGATGCAAGAGCAGCTCGGGTCATTTAGCGTGATGGCTGTTTCCCGTAAGGGGCTTTTCTTGAGAATGAAACGAAAGTTAGGAGCTGTAGACAGCACCGCTCACAGCCAGCCCTGAGCCCCCTGCTCTAGTGGAGACCATACCTCTGTTAGGTGCCTGCTGTGTGCTGTCTGAACAGCAGTGTGCCAGGCACTGAGCTCGGTACAGTTGCTAATACAAAGATCAAGGCTCTGCCCTCACAGAGCTTCTCCTCCACTCGAACAGAAGTTTGTAGCCTGGGGTCTGTGGCCTTGCTTTAAAAGATATTTTGATAACTGTACTTCAGCATAATTTGTTTCCTTTGTGATTCAGCTTGTTTTGCTCTTACCCTGAGAGACACGTGGGAGGGAGGTCTGGAGGCTGACAGGCGAGAAGACCTTGCTGTTGTCATCATCATCATCATCATCAGCTCTTCTACAGTACCTACCATTTGCCAGGCACAAGTGCTTTACAAATATTATTTTTTCCCCTCATTTGTGAAGAAGGTGCTATTATTATTTCCATTTTACAGTTGAGGACACTGAGGCAAGCAGAGGTTATGGGACTTGCCCAAGGTCATTCAGGTAGTAAGGACTGGCCAGAATTGGGGTCAAGATCTCCTGACACCTTGTCCATGGCTTCTTAATCATTTCTATGGCACTTGGAAGACCTTTACACCCGTGATCTCATTAGCAGTGTACAACTCTGTGAGGCTGGCATCATTTCTAGCTTACAGATGAGGAAACGGAGGCAGAGTCAGTGACTACTAACTCTGGGTCACACAGCTAGTAATGCCATGATGCCAATGCTTCATTTCTTCTGTCAAAAATAGATTCTTACTGATATCTTTTGTTTTAACATTGCCTGGACTTCCCCTCACGTCTCCCTCCCCTTTCCTCCTTTCCAGGGAGCCATCCCTTAGAACAAAGAATTAAAAAATAAAATAAAAAAATAAAATGTCATTTTTTGGGGTTCATTTTTGGTGAGGCAGTCGGGAGTAAGTGACTTGCTCAGGGTCACATAGCTAGTGAGTGTCTAAAGCAGGATTTGAACTAAGGTTTTTTTGGACTGCTGGTGCAGTGCTCTGTCCACTGGACTACCCAGCTGCCGTGTGTCCCTGGGAAAGACTCTTCCCTTCAGTGATGTCTGTGACTAAATTTCTACTGGGGAACAGGTGAACTCCCTTCCCTGGAGGCTGAAACGGAATTTCTTGGGAAGTTGCTTCGTTGCGTGGCTTGAGCGCCCTCCAGTGGCCACAGGAGAAACAAATTCCCATAGGAAGGGAAATATTTGCATGGGCATGGCAGTGGTGGGAGGTCTGGGGCTGTTGGTACAGTGGGGCGTGGGCCTGGATTCGATTCCAATCATCTTTCCTCTGTGACCCAGCAGCCCTCATTCCAGAGGAGGACAGATGTGACCCACAAGGCAGCCACGAAGGATGCGAGTGGATGGGCTAGGAAGGACCACTCCATCCACAGACAGACCTGGTCCGATTCCCTCTTCTGACCCTGACTACTTACATAACCTGGACAAGTCACTTAACTTCCCTGGGCGAGCTCTCCCTATCTGTAAAATGACAGAGCTGGACTAGATCAGGGGTCCTTAGTCTGGGGTCCACGGACAATTTCAGGAAGTCTGTGAACTTGGGTGGGAAAAAAACACAGCTCTTCATTTCCACTCTACTCCTGTTGATATTTAGTATTTCCTTCAATCATTTAAAAACCTGATTGTAAACTTCACAGACCTCCTGCTGAGGGGTCCATGACCCCACCCAGAAAGTCTAGAACCCCTGCACTCGGCGGTCTCTGAGATCTCCTAGCTTCAACCTAGGACTCCAGGGTCCTGTGATCACGTCCAGAATGGCTGACAGTGACATTTAATCAAGGTGGCAAAAGGATGGATGAGGTCTTGTAGCAGAAAGACTGCTAAGCTTGAAGCCAGGCGACCTGGGTTCTAGTTTAGGCTTCAGTCCTTACCAGCTATGTGACCTTTCAGCTGTAGGGCCTCAACTTCATTATCCATAATAATACTGGCACTGGGGCAGCGAGGTGGTGCAGTGGATAGAGCACTGGCCTTGGGGTCAGGAGGACCTGAGTTCAAATCCAGCCTCAGACAGTTGACACTTACTGGCTGTGTGACCCTGGGCAGGTCACTTAACCATGACTGCCTCCAAAACGAAAAAAAAAAATAATACTGGCACTGCCTGTCTCTCTGGGCTCTTGTAAACTTTGCATGTGCTTATGACAATCAATTATTAATATAAAACCAAAACATGGCAATAAAACTTTAAAAAGAAATGCAATCAAAACCACTGCACAAGTACAAGATGGACAGAAAGGGGCTAGACTACAGCTCATGTGAAAAACATTTGGAGGCCTCAGTGGCCTCCATAAGAAAAGAGCATGGGGCAGCTAGGTGGCACTGTGGATAAAGCTCCAGCCTTGGAGTCAGGAGGACCTGAGTTCAAATCCAGCCTCAGACACTCGACACTTACTAGCTGTGTGACCTTAAGGCAAGTCACTTAACCCCAGTTGCCTCACCAAAAAAAAAAAAATCACCAATTAACATGTATGGAGCAGCTGGGTGGCACAGTGGATAGAGCACTGGCCCTGAAGTCAGGAGGACCTGAGTTCAAATGCGGCCTCAGACCAAACACTTGACACTTACTAGCTGTGTGGCCCTAGGCAAGTCACTGAACCCCAATTGCCTTAAAAAACAAAAACAAAAAAAACTCAGCGTGATGGGGCAGTCAAAAAAATGAATTTAACCTCAAGCTGGAGGAAAAGAGGTTTAGTGATGATAGAGACTGAAGACCTGAGAGGAAGTCCCACCTCAGGCATTTACTAGCTATGTGTGACTGAAGGCCCATTACCTAGCCTCTCAGTGAACCAGTCCACTCTCTAAGACTGTAACTTAACAATGAGGTGCCATCTGCACCAGGGGAGGAATTTCCATACCAGGAGTTCTTTCACATAGATTAAATTACAGGTCCGGAGGCCTCCCGGGAAATTCCTTCTTCCCAATCCAATGACATAAATACTTTGCAAATTCGAAAAGTCCATACCGGCCTCTTCCAAGTCGGTCCACATCTGAAATGTGCTGTTTTGAGAACGTCAGTTTGGAGTGCCTAGCCAGGACTACAGAGGGCCTCAAAATCATCTCATACAAGAAGAATTTATTGAAGGATCTGGGATGTTTAATCTGGAGAAGGGAAACTGAGCAGGGACGCGTGAGCTACCTCCAGATCTCTGAAGGGCTGTCCTATGGGGGAGGGCACAGCCCTCGATCTGCTTGGCCCCTGAGGCGAGAACCAGGATGAGGGTGGGGAAGTTACAGGGAGGCAAAGTTAGGTGGGGTATCAGGACAAACTTCCTAACAATGAGAGCCATCCCAAGGGGGATGAGTTGCCTTGGAGCGGGGTTCCTCACCATCAAGCAGAAGGTGGAGGGGGAACCACTTGACGTGAATGCCGTAAAGGGCATGCCAACTCGGCTTCCAAGCTGGAGGTTCTGGGATTGGTTTTCTACCTTGCCTTCCACGTGGAGCTCACCTCCTTTCTGATCGGTGCTCTGTTTCAGGTATGGATCCTACCTGGTTTGGAAGGAGCTGGGGGGCTTCACAGAGAAGGCCATAGTGCCCCTGGGACTCTACGCAGGGCAGCTGGCTCTCAACTGGGCCTGGCCACCCTTATTCTTCGGTGCTCACCAGATGGGCTGGGTAAGTTTGGATTCTGGGCTCTCTCTGCCTTTTGTATCCCTGCCTCAGAGAGTGGGCAAAGCGGGAGTTGTGACCTCCCTTTGATTGCATTAAGTGTTTTGTCTGGTGAGAGCCAAGGGAGAAAGCAGTGGTGACAACAGTGATCGTGATGATGATGAAGAATGATGGTGGTAGGAAGGATGACAGAATTGATCCTCTGCTCTCCCCTCCCCTGATGCATCCTCATGCCTCCTGAAGACTGGGAACTGGAAAGGCTCTTGGCCCAAGTCTGGTACCAGCCTGGGTGTCTCTCCTCTAGGGATCAGCCTAGCCGAGGGTGGAGGGGAAGGAGCTTTGTGGCCACAGAAATTTACTAGGTCCATCTACTAGGGGCTCCTGATGCAGCAGCTGGGATTTGAACTGTGTTTTGAAGGACATTTCCCTCCTCGTTATCTCCATCATGGCTTTATTCAGGTTTAGCAAAGTGTTTGTTTCTTTTTTTAAACAACCCAGCATGTTGTGAAGTACTAAGTAAAAATTCTGTTATCTCCATTTGACAGCTAAGAAAATGGAGGCTGAGAGAGGTGACTTGGCCAGGGTCACCCAGGGCTTCAGTGGAAGGGCTGCAGCTTGAGGCCAGGTGTCTCCTGACTTGAGTCCAAGGCTTCCCTGGCCTGGCCTGCAGTCTCTCTGAGCTAAGGAGACCAGCAGCTGCTGCTTAGACACGGCTCCATACTGAAAAGTTTCTGGGCTGGCATCTCAGGGTCCTTGTAACTGTGACGGTGACTCCCTCCCTCTTCCCCCTCTGCAGGGCCTGGCGGAGATCATCCTGACCAGTGGGGCTGCAGTGGCCACCACTGTGGCCTGGTACCCAGTGAGCCCGACAGCCGCCTGCCTCATGTACCCTTACCTGGCCTGGATGGTGATGGCCACAACCCTGAATTACTGCGTCTGGAGGGATAACAAAGACAAAAAGCGTCACTCTGATGCTGAGTAAAGGAGCTCTGGGGTTCCCCTCTCAGAACCGAGACGAGTGTGTTGCTAAAGCCAACTTGAGGCTCTCACCTGAGAGCCTTCTCCTTCAGCGGGTCAGCTTGGCAAGGAAACCAAACCCATTCCCTCTGTGGGTGGGGGCCACCCCAAAGGGGGCATCTTGTTGTAAAATTCCCAACTGATGTCAAGATATAAATTGGGTTGTGACTAGTTCCCGCTTTTTAAATGACCCTCACCTCCACCACAAACCAGCAATAGAGCCAAGCGAGCCTGCTCTCACCATTTGGTCGTACTATAGTGGCTCATGGCCCCACCTTTTATATGCAAATAAATTTCTCAACAACCATACTGTGATGTAGACATTTGACGTGGAGAAAATCCCAGGTCCTTTCAGAAACTCACTTAAGTATGTCCAGTCTGTTCCAAGGGGTGGGTAGGCGTGTGGACAGAATACTGGCCTGGGAGTCCTAGACTCACAGAATCTGGAGGGTGGGATGGTGCAAGCCACACCTCAAAGAAATCTCCACTGAAACCCCCCTACCAACTGGTGGTTCAGCCTTTGCTGGCAGATCTCCAAGGAGGAGTCCACTCCCCCACTTTCCCACTTCAGGGCACCCCTAATTGCGGGGAATGACTTCCTGCCACCCAGCCTCAGTCTACCTCTCCACAGCTTCTACCCATTGCCCCTGGCTCTGCAAACAGAACCAAGCTAATCCAGCTGCTACTTTCACATCAGTCCTGTTTTATTTTTAAAACTGTTTATTCATATTGTTTGACAACTTACCTATTAATGATCTTCCTTGTTGCATGCTTTAGTTCTTAGACCTAAGTTTGAGTATGTATTTTTAAAATTAAAAAAAAAAAGCTGAGTTCTAAATTCCCTCCCATCCCCCATCACAATCCTTCTGATACAGCTAACACCCCTGCCCTTCCTCATGCCCAGTTTCTTCAACCAATCCATCTTCCTTTGTCCTAACTCAAGGCCCTTAGCCCTCTTGGCTACTCTCCTCTGCACATGCCCAGGTGATCAATACCTTTTTGGTTTTTTTGGCAATTGGGGTTAAGTGACTTGCCCAGGGTCACACAGCTATTAAGTGTTTGGTCTGAGGCCGGATTTAAACTCAGGTCCTCCTGACTTCAGGGCCAGTGCTCTCGAGAATGCTTCTTACCAATGCTGAGATTTTTATTTGCCAAAGGGCCCTCGTGAGTTAGCCAGCACCCAGTGACTGCGGCGGAGATTAACAACTAGGATGGAATAAACAGAAGTAGGACTTTATTGTGATTACAAATCTTCAAAGGAGGAATGGGGGCAAAGAACAGCCCAGCTCCAGGAGAGGAAACCAAAGAGGGAGGAGCCCAACACATTCAAGATCCTTGTTCTCCCATAAAGCCTCAGCAGGAGGAAGGGAACCGCAGCTGTCCTTCAGCCAAACGTCAGTGACCTGTGGGGCATGGGCTGGTAACGTGGGGAGAAAGAACAATCGTTTCCGCCCGTGCGGCGATGTGTAGCAACAAAGCCTTCACATTTACGTGACGTGTCCTCCCCACTATGGAGGAAGGTGGCCAGGGCGAGGACTACTGCCCCATTTTGTAGGTGAGCAAACTGAGGAAGCCCAAGCCATGTGCTCCAGGCACGGCTTGTCAATCCCAGAGACAGGCTCAGGCCCTCGACGGATTTCTGCTGCAGACCAAACAGGAGAACAGGAAGGCCTCTTTCTGTGACTGACAACACAGCACATACTTCAGTTTCTCAGACAAAAAACAAAATACAACCTCTTCAGGCTCACCTCAAAAAGAGTCTTTAAGCTTTTTAACAAACAAAGACTTAGATGTTCAGGCCTCAGAAAAAACCAATAGGGACCAAGCAGATTCAGGGCTATTCAGTCTTGAAATCTAGACAAATGCACATGACAGTGGGTGAAGGCAGTGGGACACATGTGCTCACACATGCGTATGCACACCTGAAACGATGATAAAGCCATCTGAGCCGAGGTCTGAGCCCCTCTGGCACCCGCGAAGAGCCACCTCTGCTCCTGTAAATCAGTTTCCTCATCTGTAAAATGGGAACACAAATCCTGCCAACAATTTCAGATATGTGTGAAGAAGGCGCTTTGTGGCTGTAAATCACCGTGTACGAGACGAGCTCTCATTACACACAGACCAAAAAGGTTCTTTGGCAGACGTTCACCCTCTTCCTCGGAGGATCCTGAACGTGGTGGGGAGGCTGCTGGTGAAGGTTTCCTTCTTGCTAAGTGTGGGGATAACCCAATTCCAGAAGATTTTACACTTGGAAAGGGGGGAGATCACAGAACGCAGCGCCTGCTGATGCTGGCCGGCAGCGAGGGAACATAAGAACACATATATCCAGGTCTGCCTGGGCTGGGAATGAATGGGACCCGGGGGTCCTGCCCACCAAGCAAACTTGATGCAAGAAGTGACTGGAGCTGCGGTCAGTTGCTTGCTCTGGTTACTAGCAGACATTCCCCATCTTCGTCCAGCGCCTCAGACCCCAAAGCCCCCAGGACAGTTGCTCTGTCTCTGGGCCCTGAAGGACCCTGACCCAGGCAGCTCAGAGCCCTGAAGCACATTAGGGAGAAAGCACCTGGTGGCGGGGGACGGGACGGATGGACATCCGGGCCTAGATGATGCAGGTCACGTGACTGTTCTTTGTCTCATCCAGGAATAAGGCGCTGAAAACGTCATTGAAGAAGTTGGGGTGGTACCTGCAGGCCCTCTCACAGTCAGGGTTGAAGTTCACCTCGAGGATCTGGGGCTGCATGACTTTCTTGCCTGGGTCAAATACAGGCGGGTCACACTGGGGGTATCTGGTGTCCACACCCTGACCAGAGAACCCGGCCACCCTGGGCTCTTCTCTTCCGAAGGTCCCCATCACCCTCACTCTAGAGCCCTTTGCTCCTGTCTCCACCATGCAGGCACACAGGCTGCCCCCCCGCCTCCAGGGCTGCTGCCCAGAGCTGGAAGAAATGGCCAAACCGGCCAGTCTAGAGGAGATCACCCCCTCCCTCCCTGAGGCCTCAGGACCCCGCTCCAGGGACCAGGGGTCCTTGTTGTGCTTGCCCCCTCTGCGCCATCTCCATTCCTGCCATGGAGGCCACTACCCTACACCTCTTTCTCTCCCTAAGCCGCTCTCCCCACAGCTGCCAAAGCCTCTTAAACACATTTTCCTTTTTTCTTTTTTTTTTTGGTGAGGCAATTGGGGTTAAGTGACTTGCCCAGGATCACCCAGCTAGTAAGTGTTATGTGTCTGAGGCTGAATTTGAACTCAGGTCCTCCTGACTCCAGGGTTGGTGCTCTACCCACTGAGCCACCTAGCTACCCCTAAACACACTTTCCTTGAAGAAAACAAGGGCCCTCTTGCCCTTCCCCTCAGCCCAACAAACCCCCATCCTCAAGAACTCTTCTGGTCCTGAGGGCAGAGCCCGGGTGGGAGGAGGGTCACAGCAAGGGCTACACAGGAGCATGGCTGGACCTGGGGGAGACTGCGATGGGGGTGCTCCAGCTGGACTGCCTTCTCCAGGTCCAGGACAGGAGTCCCAGCTCCACAGGTTCCTACCACGTGGAGAGCTTGGCAACAAGTCTAGAGGCGCCCTGATGCCAACATGTGGAAGTACAATGTAAATCATTCCATGGCAGTCCTTGAGGGGCTTCTGAAAACCCAGGGCTACGTGAGGTCCAAAGGACAAGTCATGGCTCAAGAGGGACAGCAGAGCAGTGCCTGGGCAGGTGAGCACAGACCGGCCCTGGGGAAGGAGGGGGAGAAAGGCGCGGAGTTCTCTCACCGTCAGGAGGAGGAGTATGGTCCCACTTCAGCATGAGGTCAATGGCATACACAGCTCTAGACGAAGGGTAGTCACACACTCCCAGGGGCGCGGGCTTGGCAGTCGCGGCCTGGAACAGCTCGGTGAAGGCCTTGAAGATGTCGGCCTGAGAAGGGAAGGATGAGGACAAGCGGGTTTGAAGCCTTTCTCACACGAGCTGCCGCTGAGGCAGCCCTGCATCCCCGTGGTCAGTGTGGGACCCTAGCTTAGGTGCCGGAGCTGCCTGCCTGGGGTATCGCTAGTGGTTGAAGATGCTTCTCCCAAGCCTGCCCTCCCCAGTTCCCCTCACTCAGTAGGCCTCCCGGGAGCCCCCAAAGCCAGGACATCTGGGAGAGGTCCTACAGCAGACCGTGGCCTGGAACCCAACAAGCGGCTGTTTCCTCAGGACCAAGAGAAGGGTCATCTATATGACTGCCAGGATACAAAGCCCTGTGTCAAGTACTGGACTGGGGAAGTAGAGCTCGAGGCCCCTGCCATCACGAGCTGACATCTGGGAGGGGCCAGAAGCTAACACCAGAGGCAGGTTCCTCATCTCACTGAGCCTCAGTTTCCACATCAACAAAATGGGGAAAACGATCCTTGCACTCCTTGGGCCACAGGGCCCTTGAACTAGCAGCCTTCTCCCCTGCCCTGTCCTGCCTCCCCCCAGCGGGGCCGTAAGCCCCAGGCCCGGGGGGGGGGGGGGCCCTCGGCAGCTGGCCTCTTGTGGGATGCTTCTCACCCCATCTGCACGCACCCGGTCAGCAGCAGACCCACTGCAGGCACCCCCCAGGCTCGCCTACCTGCACACTCTGCCACGGGTATTCTGGGTACTGCTTCTCAAACAGGGGGATGAACTCATCATAGTGAACCTAAAACAGAGCAACCCCATGAAGCTGCCCCTGTCGGACTGCTCCCAGGCCCCGGGTCTTCTCCGCACTGTCTTCCAAAGGGAGGGTCGCGCCTCCTGGGTTCTGGGGACAGGCTGGGGAGGAAGCCCCTGCAACCCCTCAAATTGCATAATCTAGCCTGGGCGCTCAGGGGAGGGTCTCTTACTCTCTAATATCGGCAGTATATAGCCTCACATGCTGGATCTGCCGGACTCCGAAATCCAGTGTTTCTGGCTCTTCCCTCTCCCTCCCTTCTAGCAGCCAAATCAGTTAGTTTGCAAGCCCCGCAGCGTCTCTCACCCAAACCCAGTCTGAGTCTCTAAGCTTTAGCAACAGCCTCTAACGTGGCTTCCTGCCTCCACTCCCTTCTGTCCCCACTGATCCCTGCCAGATGCACACACCTTCTCTGTAAGCAAGACTTCCCCAAGCCCTGCAGCTGTTGTCTATGACCCACCAAGTGACGTTTAAATTCTCTGCCTGCATTTCTAGGCTCCCCACCATCTAGTACCAGACTGTCCTATCAAACGGGCCTCCTGGCTAGCTCCCATGTATGCTCCATACTTCCCACCTGCATGTGTTCAGGCCGTGCCCTGACTGGCACACGGCTGCCATCCCTCCTCCACCTGGTCAATTCTCCCCATTCCTCCAAGTCCCACTGGACAAGGCCTCCTTCATCCTCCACCCCAGCAACCGCTCCCCTTCCCCAGGCCGTAGGCATTACTGAATATCCCTCACACTTTTATCGCCTTTTATTCTGTTTCAGCACCAGTCTGGACACTGATGTTGCTAACAGTTTGGTAAACCGAGTGCTTTGCCAGCCCATCTCCTCTTGACTCTCAGCCTGCCATTTCTCAGATGTTCCTGCCTACAGCTCTTCCCATCTATCCTCAAATGAACGTAAAACCCAGTTCCCTCCCCACGCCAGGCAGACCATCCCACTCACCTGCTTCAGAGGCACGTCTGGGTCATAGTTCATCACGGTAAAGTGCTTCTCATAGTCATCCAAGTCATTGAGTGCAAAAGCCCTGGGGCAGACACAGGGACAAGAAAGAAGGGAAGGAGTAAAAGCTGAGCCCTGCTCCCCCGCCCGTCCCCCAGCTCCCCGTGATTACCGGTTGGAGAATCGCAGCCAGAACACGTCGTAAGCGTAGAGCCTCAGGGGCCTGACAGAGCGCAGCAGCACGATGTAGCGGATGTCAAACTTGACCATCCCCACATCTTCTCGGTGGAATAAGACGGGGCTCTCTATGTACTTGGAGACCACCTGGGGGAAGGAGGGACGAAACGGGAATGGACCATGGACACTCCTGACCACGTAGGCCCCAGACTTAATGAGGGCTGGCTGTGATTCCTCAGCATCACTTGTTTGACTCAAAAGAAAGCTCTGGCACATGCACTCGGGCACTCCCCCCTCACATATCAGTAGGAAGAAACTGCTTTTAAAAAAATCACTCAAGAAAGAAAAAAGTGCTCTCTTGCACAGTACAGCAGCAAGAGCATTGGGCTTATTTACAGCAAGGAGATGTGGGTTTGAATTCTAGGTCTGACACTAACTGTGTGACCACAGGCCAGTGCTGTCCCCCTTGTGAGCCTTGGCTCCATCAGCTGTTAAAAGGGGACGATCACGGCAGCACGGCTTGCCTCCCGGGCAAGACAGCAGCGCAGAGGTCATCTGGTCCAACCTCCCCGTTTTACAGATGAGGAAACTGAGACCAGAGAAGTCTGGCCACCTGCCTAAGGTAGAATCGTGGGGCAGACCACAGTGCACAGAAATAGGAGCTGTGAGTCACAAGGAAGCTTTGTAAGTGCACAAGCGGCCTCGCTATGGTCACTACAGCCACCTCGGCTTGAAGGAGCACTTTAATTCTGAAACTATTCTTTGCACTCATGATGTACACACACATTAGCTGGTCTAATCAGGACCCGACCACCCAGTGAGGCCAGCAGGGTCAGACAGGGCTGTCTTCACTGGACAGGCCACACAACAAAGGCTCAGGGAATTAGGGGACTTTCCAGGTCACCCACCTTCTAAGTGGCCGAGCTGGGCCGGCCTGAGGCCCCTGGACCGGCCCACGAAGGGCTGGTGCCGTGTGCTGGGCTTCTGGGTAATGCAGAGCTGATGTGACACGCCCTCTGCCTAGCATATCAGTGAGCTGGAAAAAGTGCCTCCAAACCCACACTGAGCAAGTCCAGGGAGGTTGGAGGCGATGGGCAGGTGTGAAGTGACTCAAAGGCCACCTCGATGTTCTGAGATACGTATGGAACGCAGTTTTCACTTTGGTTTTAAAGTCTAAATCTGTATGCTCAGTTGTGCCGGGCCGGCCTGAGGAGGAAGTTTGGCCAGCCTCTGCTCTGACTCACCTTGGGGGCACTCTCTCGGAGCCGGATGATATTTCGGAGGCTGTTAGTGACGTGAGTGTCCAGGCTTCGAGCTAAGTTCCATGGTTTGCATATCCAATGATTGTCTTCCCCCCTGTGACAAAAAGCAATCTTGGTTACACAGCTCAGCATCTGCCCCAAATGACCCCTGGCTTCATTTTAATGAAGGCTGAATTATGGGAAGAGCCGGGGATTCCCAGCTGGTCCTTGATGAATGGAGACTTTGACACCCTCTTGATGGGTTCAGATGTGGTAGGTGAAAATCCCCAAGGGTCTTCAGAATGACCAGCATCTGGTCTGGTCTCACTCTTTGGGAGGGATGAGGGACATTCACTTTGCATCTGTGCTCGCGGGGCTGAACATTATTCCCTCCTAGAAGCTTCCTAGGGGCCTAACTGCTCTAGACAGGACTCGGAGGAGAAGCCAGGTGTGGCTGGGGGCTGGCGCCTGCCCTCTGCTCACTGGCCCATCCTAGGAGCACAGGAAAAGAACTGCAGAATTTCAGAAGGAGGATTCTTAGTCTAACCCTGATCCTGAGCAGAAATCCCTTCTGACACTTCTGATCGAGTGGGCCTCCAGCCTCAGTTCCAGTGATGGGCAGCTCACCCTCTGAGCTGTGGCCAACTCTACTTTAGAACCCTGGACTTCAGAACTGAAGAAGCCCTGAAGGCCCACCAAGGCCAGCCCCCTCCTCGATGTGTGGGACAGGTGGAGCCAGGGCATTAAAGGCCCGGTCGGCACAGTGAGAGTCAGATCTGGGCCGGCCCACTTCATGTTTCCTTTCCTCTGCACCACACCACGCTGCTTTTCTGTTCCTTTGCCGTGGAAGGCTCTTCACGACATTCAGCCAAACCTGACTCCCTATGGCCGCCACTGTCCAGTCCCTCTTCCACCCCGCAGCCTGAGAACCTGTGCAGAGGGCCAGTGTGTCCTCCCCAAGGCCAAACAATCTTGGTTCCCTCAAACGGGTCTGGTGACATGGTCTTGCTCTGCCTACGAGGCTCCTGAGGCGGCAGGCTGCACGGTGTGCCCACCTCCTGGACACCCACAACGGGCTGCCTCATGCTCCTGCCTCACGCTTCAGAGAGGGTTCAGATGCATAAACCAGATGCTTTCCTCGCTGGCTCGGAGCGCTGGCCTAAAGGCATGTGCACACCCTGGGAAAGGAGTGCTGTACGGCTTTCCCAACGAGGGCAAAGACCTCCGATGCAGAGTAGCCTAGTTCTTCCCAAAGCAGCCCTTTCCTCTTCTGCACAGCTCCCGCTGTCAGGAAGACCTTTCTGAAACGCCTGCCCTCGGTCTGCTGTTAAGTCCTCTGGGCCAAGCAGAACCAGTTAGCAGATAAACAGCCTTTCCAGGATGTGCAGGCAGCTCTCGTGGGCCCCCAGGCTTGTCTCGGTTAAAGCAGCCCCTAGGTGCTGCATGTGATCCTTGGCCAGCTCTTCCCCATCCTGGCGCGGCTTTCCTCTGGACGCACTCATCATGGCTGGTCAGGACAGTCCCTTTTCCGGATGGCTATGTCTAGCCAACTTCAGGCTGTCCAAACTCATTTTTCAGGCTGCTGTGTCCTACCATGGACTCACAGGGAGTCTGCAATTCTCCACCACTGCCAGGCTTTCTTCACATGACACTTAAGCACCCCTCCCTCCAAAAGCTGAGACACATGTTCTGCACGGCCGCAAAGGGCAGACCGAGGAACAGCTGGGGGATATTCCCGGGAAGCAGGGCAGTGGATGCACGACCACTCCCACAGGGATTTGCACTTGAGCCTGCCAGACCAACCCCATCCAGCTGCCTTGGTTTTCCAGGCGTCCTTTCTGTTACATGCGCACCAACACTCAGACAAAGAGATCTTGGGGTCTTTTCAAAGCAGGGAGAAAGGAACCAGCCTCTGCTGGGCATCAACTCTGCCAGACCTCGCTGAGGGTTTTACAGATAACAACTTGGTCCTCACAATAACCCTTGGGGGGGGGGTGCCATCATGATCCCCATTTTACAGTTGAGGAAACCGAGGGGGACAGAGGTGAAGTGACCTGCCCAGGGTCACATAGCTAGTGAGCGCCTGAGGCTGCATCTGAACTCAGGACTTCCTGCGCTCTATCCACTGCACCACCTGTGGTCACGGATGAGAAGCAGTGTGGCAGAGGACCTGCTGTCTACTGGCTTTTTGAGCTCCTCTTCTTAGCCTCACCTTCCTCACCTGCAGAATGGGGCAACAGGCTCACCCCACACTGCTGCTGTGAGAAAAAGGGCTTCGTACACCCCCATGTTCTGGGGAATGGAAGAAGCCTCTGCTATGTGCTTGCACTGTCCCCAGACTGGCTGGGAGTCTCCCCACTCCCCTCTGGGGCTCAGCTTCTTCCCTGATACAAACCCCAGGTGAGCTCCGGGAGCAGAGCACCAAGGATGGGGAGGAAGAGGGCCACCAAGCCCTCATCTTTCTAAAGGACCTTCCCCCTCACAGCCCTGTGATTCCGGCAGTCACCTGGCAACCAAAACCCCTGGAGGAAGCTTCCGATGTGCTGTTGGCAGGCGGGAGTATCCTCTCTTTACAGATGAGGAAACTGAGGGTCAGGGAGATAAAGGTCACCTGCCCAGAGTCACATGGTTTCTAGGGAGCGGAGCCTGAGTTTGCAGCCAGGCCTTCGGACATGGGAGTCCAGGGGTGTGCAGCCTACCGCCCCCTGCAGGATGTGGGGGCTGGAAACCCTCAGCATGTCACTAACTGCTGTGTTACCTCCTTTCTCGCTGCTGGAAGTAGCTGATGAACTGGGGTAGTTCCGTCCGGAGGTTGAAGGTCCTGGGCAGCCACCGAGGCCCTTCGGGCCCCCCCGCTCGCCTGGAGATCGAGGCAAGGCAGTCCTTCACCGTCAGGAGGTTCTCACAAGGGAACTGGTTGAGCATCACATGAGGCCTTTCTTCACTGAATTTCCTACAATTACAGTAGAAACTCACATTTACACAAATTACCTTTGCACCCACCTTGTCATTTGGATTTCACAACATCTCTTCCAACTCAAAATCCTACGACTCCCATTTTGCAGGAGGACACCGGGCTCTGAGGGGAAAGAGCTCAGGGAAGTCAAAGGGTGGGGACCCGAGGCCAGATCTCGTGATGACCAGCTTCGTGCCCTTGGCAATAAGCTCAAGTACTGGAGAAAGACAGAAGCGCCCAGACAAGACAGACTGAACTGCTATGCCGTAGGACAAGACAGATGGAAGGAATTCAGAGACAACACCGGAGATTTCTACAAACGGAGGTAGAATGAAGCAAGCAGAGCCACAGAAACAACTCTACTCAACTACAGTAATACAAATGGAAACGACACGTGAGCAGGCCTGAGCCCTGGCTCCAGGGAAGAGACGGTCGAATCTATTCTCCTCCTAGAAAGGAGCCGGGGGGGCCGGAGGAGTGCAGTGCAGCTGACCGCAGACTGTTACTTGGTCTCAACCAGGAGTGTTACCCAGGGGGGTGGGACACAAGGGGAATATCACTGGTACAAAGAAGAAGACGACCAGTGAGGGCTGGGGGAGGGAGACGTGGAGGGGCTCGTACCTGTAGTCTTTGAAATGCGAGAAATTGTACAAGATGTCTGCCTCGGCCTCCGCGGTGGTGAACTGAAAGCGGGGATGGTTGAGGTTGCTAAGCACCTGCTGGAGATCCGTGTAAACCCTAGAAGGGAAGAAAAGGCAGAGCACACGGGCCCTCCCCAACCCGCTGCCGAACGCACCGTGGGACGGAGCACCTCAGCACCTCGGCCGGCACTGAGGACGGCCATCACGGCCTGGCCCCAGGCCTCCTCTTCTCCAGGCTCAGAGATGGACCAGAGGCAGAGACCTGGGTCAACGACAGCCGTGGATCCTCATCAGCAGTGAGGCTTCTGAGGCCTGGCTCTAGGGTCTGTGGCTTCCTTCTGTCAGCCTCTGTGTTCCCACCATGACTGTGCTCTCCAGGTGACCAGATCACCCCATTTCTTCCTAGAATGGGGTACCCACAGCTGAACAGGAGGCTGCAGGTGGGGCCTGACCAGGGCAGAAGACAGCAGGACTCGAGTCCTCCGTGCCCAAGGCTCCCTCCCTTCTCTCACCTCTGGAAGTATCTTGTAGTCACTTTTTTATGTACGAGGTGACTCTGAGAACATAAGCTTCCTGAAGACAGGGGCTGTTTTGGCTTTGGCTTTGTATCCCCAGTGCTTAGCACAGAATCTGTCCTGTTTACACTAAGTGCCTAATGAGGCCTGCCCGCTGACTGCCTGAAGCTGAAGATGGCGTTGGCTTGTTTGGGCTGCACACACTTAAATGGACTCAGGTAAACGTCTGTCTGTCTGTCCATCTGTCTGCATCCGGCCTCCTTCCTCCAGCCCCACCTATCTTGCACCGGTACAGTTCATTTCTTTGTACCAAGCATAAGACTTCACCCTTCTCTCTATCCCACGGTCTGTTTCTAGGTATGGTCCAATACTCTGGCCATGGACCGGCCACTTCTTTTTGGATCCTGTCAATCTCCGCCATCCCTCAAAGCCTCGTGCTGTTTGCAAATTGGCTGAATGTGATGTTTATGCCTTAACCGAATCACTGGTAAAAAACAAAGCCTAACAAACGGAGAAAAACATTCAACAGCCCTGGGCCCAGCCCAGACCCCCAAGCGACCTCCCCCTGTTGAGGACGACTCAACTGTCACTTTCTTGCACCCAAGAACGGTGTGAAAAGCTTGGTCAAATGCTCTGCTGACATCAACAGTACCTCCCTAATTAAATCCCACAAACATTTATTCAAACTTTATTTGTTTCTTTATTTTTGGCTAGGCAATGCGGTTAGGTGACTTGCCCAGGGTGTCACACAGCTAGTGTTATGTGTCTGAGGCTGGATTTGAACTCAGGTCCACCTGACTCCAGGGCCTGTGCTGTACCCATTGCGCCACCTAGCTGCCACTCCCACAAACATTTATGAAGCAGGGTGCTGTGCTAAGGGCCCAAAGACAAAAATGAATCAGTCCCTGTCCTGAGAGAAGAGCAGCTACTCTGCAGACACAGAGCTCTCCCACGGGGCTTGGAGGGGCCTGAAATCCTGGCGGGCTCCAGGGGCGGAGCCTTGCTCGTGAGAGGCAAACTGGGGAGAAGAGGTCTGTGTGAAGGCACTGATGCCATCAACACGTCTGGACAAGGCCAGGAAGGGGTGTCCCCTGAGATGGGGCTGAGGTGAAGGCTACGGGAAAGCCTTCCTAAGTAAGCTGCCCCAGGTACTCTGCAGAGCACCCGTCGGGGGTTGAGTTAGCAGCACTACCAGAGGAGGCAGGACAGTGGCCTCCCTAAAAATGGGACCTGACCAACGGAAACCACTCTGCAACCTGGGAAATTCTGACACCTAGAGGAAAAGTCTTTTGAAATGCACAGGAAATCTACTGTAACAACCGAAGGCCTGGGACAGAGATGTGGGTGAAGCCCAGGAAGAGAAGCAGTGTTTCTCCACCCAAAGGAGAGACACTGTCTCTAAAAAGATGTGTTCTGTCACAGAACAGCAAGGGGGGGCAATGATGGCGCCACTGGTAAAAAGCGGCCCTGCCACCGCCTCAGGCATGGCATCAAGCCTGTCTTCTCACCTGTTAACTAAAGCGCCCAACCCCAGTTTCCACGAGGACGCTGTGAACTTAAATGAGATCATATGCGTGAAGTGGTCAGTGAACTAGCAAGGGCCACGGGCCGATGGCCTCCAAGTGAGGCCTATGGCACGACTCCAGGGGATCCACCCCACCCCTCTGCCAGCTGTCCCCACTTCTGACCCAGGGGTTACCTCACCACAGCCTGGGGCAACTCTAACCTAATCCCTCCCAGGACACCCACAGCTGCCCCCCAGTCACACAGGTGCTGCCTCACACGGGGGGTGGGGGAGAGAGAGAGGACTCTGCCCCCCAATCTCTAAGCAGCTGCCTCGCGCACCCCCTGGGGGAGGGGCGGGCCTCACATTCTGGGGCAGTGACGGGTGAGAGCCCTGCCTCTCTTCTTTGCTGGGCTGGGACAGGAGGCCCCTCTAGGGGTCAGGCAGCTGACAGAATGCCATTTCTTCCCTTCCCTGGAAGGCAGGAGCCCTCTTCAAGATGGAGTGGAGAAAGCAGGGGCCCAGGAAATGTTGTGGTCTTCCGCCCTGGGCAGAAATGGGAGATAGACAGTGGCTGCAGAGGCTGCAGCAGCACAGGTGGGCGGCAGTCAGCTTTGTTACAGCTGAGTAAGGCTCCACATCCATGAAACCAGAGGCACCCACAGTGTCCCCAAAAGAAAGCTGGCTTCCCTCATCTGGGGTGGTGCCAAGAAACGCCATGGAGCCTTGAATGCATATTCTCTCTTCTCCAGTTTCTTTTCTCCATATTTTGACTTTACACCTGGGCCAGTTGAGGGCGGTCTTCCTTTCCTGAGGACAAGCCTCACGTGCAGACAGTTGCCGGTACGACCAAGACCACTCCTTCAGTTCAGAACAGCTGCCTGAGCTCCCCAACCAGAGAGCTCTGCCTGCTCTCTGCTGGGACTTGGCTCAGGCCTGCCCAGAGTTTCACAACCAACTGGCCCAACGCCTATGTTCAGCAGTTCACGACTCCCTGTACTTCCCGCCATCAGCTTCCCTAGTCCTGTTAACAGCTAAAAACTAGAGATTACTCTCCACTTTTGTTTCAATTTAGGAGACCACATGCCCAAAACCTACAGCTAGGTACACAAAGGAGACTATGCTGGGCCTCAAGTTTAACACATCTTAGCTGTTACTTTAATCTTGAATGTTAAAAAACAAACCTAGCCAACAACAGACATACTATTCACTGCCCGCGAACCGCTTCCTGACTGAGGATCCAGAGAAATCCCTTTTTGTGGTAGTATTTCAGCTTCCAGCAGAGACTGATGCTCATTAGGGATGAAGCCTGCAGTATTCGGGCAAGGTGTGGGCAGCTGAACTAGCCGGCTCCTAAGGGCCTTACTAATGCCCCCCTGAGGGCAGGTCTGTTTGTATCCTACCAAGTCAATGCCAAGTATCCTGAATGCATGTATTTTCCCAGGTCCAGAGGCCGACTCCTACACTCACCACACAGAACTACGACAGACCGCTTCCTTCGAGCTCCCAGCGATGTCAGGTAAGATCCCCAACAAGAAAGACTCGGAAGCCAAAGCTCTCTTTCCAGCGGTGTCCCTGCAGAGCCCTTCCCAGATCCTCCATGGCAGGACGGGACCCGGGCAGCCACCATCATCGCTCACCCGTCTCCCCTGTCAGGCTGTGAGCTGCGTCTGCTGCCTTTCTCTGTATGCCCAGCGCTGGGCACAGGGCCTGGCCTGACTCACAGAGTGATCTTTGTCTAGGTCACTTTCTCCACTAGTAAAAAGGAATGAGGTGCTGGCATCTTGCCCCAGGGACAGACACACAGACACACACACACAGACACGCACGCGCGCACACACACAGACACACACACGGTGGCAGTCAGAACCAGGCCTGAGACATCACCATTCCAGCCTTGTCTTCTTTTAACTGCTCAAACAGCTGGTGCTGATGCTGATCCACGGATGCTGCGTCATCTAAGTGAATCAGTTGTAAAAGAGGGACGCTTCATTCTGGGAGACCCTACCCAGGGAGTGTCTCAGCTGCGGCCCCTGACATTAGAGCAAACATCCTGCAGCAGAAGCACTTTTCCAGGGGAAAGGCGCCGTGGCTGCACAATTCCCTGCCTCTGACTCCATCTATGAAGGCAGCTTCAAGAACTCTTTGTTAAGGAAAGATTTAACAGAACTGGCTTCCTTTGCACCCCACATATCTGATGCCATGCATTTAAAAACACGCCTCGGGCAGGTTCAGAAGCCCTGGAACAAACACACCCACAGGGGAAGGGGTGCCCTCCCCAGGGCAGCACGACTTCTGGATCCAGACCATCCATTCTGGCCCACTCCACACTCACATCCTTCTCCTGCCGCCTTTGCCCCAAACCTCCCTGGAGATTCTCAGGAGCTGCTCCCACCCTCAGACCACTGACCAGAAAGGGATGAAATGATTAGGAAAAGGTTCTTCAAGGTCAGGAAAGACCGAAGGTAGAGAAATGCTTTCTTGTGCCATTTGAGGAAGGAGCTACATACCTGAAAACATGGCCTTTGGGGTAAGCTGGTGGACTTATGCCAACAGGAAGCTTCTCCTTGTTTCCCTCCAAAATGGCCTGGGAGGAAAGAGAACAAATGCAGGAGACCCTTGTTACTGATGGTCACATTTCTCTCCCTTCTCAAAATGATGAGGACGTGTCAGAATTCCCTTTTTGCTTTCTGACACGTTCCACTGCCCAGAGCCCTGGGTCTTATATTTTGAGAAAGCCATGGAACTACACCAACAGAAAATTCAATCAGGAAAATTAAAAAAAAAAAAGAAAAACAGTATTCTGGGAAAAAAATCCCTGCACTGATCAGGAGATAGCTAGCTTGAAAACAGGAAACTCTGGGCAGCTTGGTTCAAGCTCGTGCTCGGCAGCCCTCTGGATCAATGCCTTGAGCACACGGCTGAACCTCTCTGGGCTAAGACCTGGAGTCAGGCTTGGGAAACAGTGGCTTTCTCCTCTGTAACCACCGGGGCCGTCGCTGTTACTGCCACCACCACAGGAATTCTAAAGTGAGAGTTTTAAAACGTAAAAGGCACTTGATGCGTAGCATTTCACGAGATTTATAAAAAGGGAAGCAGGACAAAAGAACTTCTCCAATCCCTTCAAGCTCTACCAAGCTCAGAATCTCAGCTTCAAGCACACTCTGTACAAGCACAGGGTTCCTATTCTTTACAGAGAAGCATGCAGAATGAAGGCGAAATGTCCATCCAGCTCCTCTGGGCTGTTCAGTTACTGATTATTACTGCAGAGACCAAACCGTGGATTGAGGCAAGATTGTAGAGCCCCCAAATATGAATCTGTCCCAGGCCTTGGAAGAGCTCAAAAGGGATTCTGAGAAGCCAGTAAGAGAAGTAGAGGAAAAACTGGGAAGAGAAATAAGAGTGATGCAAAGAAATCATGAAAAACAAGTCAACAGCTTGCTAAAGGAGACCCCCCAAAATACTGAAGAAAACAACACCTTAAAAAATAGCCTAACCCAAATGGCAAAAGAGGCCCAAAAAGCCAATGAGGAAAAGAATGACCTAAAAAGCAAAATTGGCCAAATGGAAAAGGAAATCCAAAAGGTTACTGAAGAAAATACTTCCTTAAAAATTAGAATAGAGCAATTGGAAGATAGTGACTTTATGAGAAATCAAGACACAGCAGAACAAATCCAAAAGAATGAAAAATTAGAAAACAATGTGAAATATCTCATTGGAAAAACAACTGACCTGGAAAATAGATCCAGGAGAGGGAATTTAAAAATTGGACAATCTGAAAGCCATGATCAAAAAAAGAGCCTAGACATCATCTTTCAAGAAATTATCAAGGAAAACTGCCCTGATATTTAGAACCAGAGGGCAAAATAGAAATTGAAAGAATCCACAGATCTCCTCCTGAAAGAGATCCCCAAAGGAAAACTCCTAGGAATATTGTAGCCAAATTCCAGAGTTCCCAGGTCAAGGAGAAAATATTACAAGCTGCCAGAAGGAAACAATTCAAGTACTGTGGAAACACAATCAGGATAACACAAGATTTAGCAGCTTCTATGTTAAAGGACCACAGGGCATGGAATATAATATTCTGGGCAAAGGACATAGGATTACAACCAAGAATCACCTACCCAGCAAAACTGAATATAATCCTTCAGGGGAAAAAATGGTTATTCAGTGAAATAGAGGACTTTCAAGCATTCTTGATGAAAAGACCAGAGCTGAATAGAAAATCTGACTTTCAAACACAAGACTCAAGTGGAACATCAAGAGGTAAACAGGAAAGAGAACTCATAAGAGACTTATTAAGATTGAACTGTTCACATTCCTGCATGGGTAGTGAGAAAATTATATGTATGTATATAGATAGATAGATAGTAGTAGTAGTAGATAGAGGGCACAGGGTGAGTTGAAGATTAAGGGGTCATATCTGGAGAATAAAATTAAGGGATGAGAGAGATTATACTAGGAGAAGAAAAAGGGAGAGGTAGAATGGGTAAATTATCTCACAAAAAAACAAAAGAAAAGTCTCTTACAGTGGAGGGGAAATGGGGAAGGTGAGAAGAATGAGGAAATCTTATTCTCATAGATTTGGCTTAAGGAGGGAATAACATACACATTCAATTGGGTACGGAAATCTGTCTTATATAGGGAGAGAAGGGGACAAGAGAGCAGGGGGGATGACAGAGAGGAGGGCATATTGGGAAAGGGGGTAATCAGAAGTAAATACTTCTGAGGAGGGACAGGGTCAAAAGAAAGAATAGAATAAATGGGGGGGGCAGGACAGGATTAAGGGAAATAGAGTTAGTTTTCCACAACATGTCTACTATGGAAGTGTTTTGCAAAACTGCACATGTATAACCTATATTGAGTTGCTTGCCTTTTCAATGAGGGTGGGTGGGGAGGGAGGAAGGGAGAAAATCTGGAACCCAAAGTTTTAAAAACACATGTTTAAAAAAAAAGTTTTCACATGCAACTGGGAAATAAGAAATACAGGAAATGGGGTACATAAGTCTATCCTGCCCTACAAGAAAATAGAAGGGAAAGGGAATAAGAGAAGGGAGGGGAGAGAAAGAAAACAGGGCAGACTAGGGGAAGGGGTATTCAGAATGCATGCCATCTTGGGCTGGGGGGAGGGGTGAGATGGGGTGAAAATTTGGAACTCAAAATCTTGTGGAAGTAAATGCTGAAAACCAAAAATACGTAAATTTATAAAAATTAAAAAAAAGATGTAGAGCCCCAGAAAAGAATCCCAAATTAAAAAGCTTTTCAGAATACTTGGCTTCAGTGACTTAGATATAGGCTATGCAAGCGGCTGGCTTCTTGCTTCAGTTTTCTCAGCAGCTGGAAGGTGTCAGGAGTATGGCCTCGGACCACTCCCCTGACATTTGCTGACCCAAGCTTCAGGAATCCCAGCGTTTTCTTCCCGGCAAGCTCACGGGTGAGTTAGAGAAAATGGCACAATTCTTGACTGAAGATGTGAACCTGGAGGCTCAGAGCAGAACAGTGACTGCCGTGTGACTCTAGGAAAGTCACTGCTTACCTCTGAAGCCCGGGTTCCTGCCTGCAAAATGAAGGGGCTGACCTAGCTGACCTCTGAAGTCTTCTTCTTGTGCAAAGAGCCTGGATCTGAAGCCAGAGGACCTGGGCTGAGATCCAGATTCTTCTATTTACCTTGCTTGGGTGATGTGGGGCAAGTCGCGTGAGCTCCTTAGGCCTCAGTGCCCTGCTCTGTAAAACTGGGGGAGGGGAGGGGAAGGCAGCCCCCTTTACTCCAGCTCCCCATCACTGATCCAGCACCTTCTGACTCGCTTCTGGTCACAGAACAAGCAGCAACTCTCCCAGAGCCAGCAGGCAATCCCGCTTTCAGTCAGCTCTGCTGGCAAGCTTTTCCTTCTACAGAGCTAAAAATCTGCCCCCATAACTTCAATCCATTAGCCTGTGTTCCTCTCCCAGAGCCGCCCTGACGAAGCTTAATTCTTCCCTGTGACAGTCTTTCAGAGCTCGGAAGGCGGCCACTGGGTCCTCCTCTTCCCTCCAGACCAGCCTTGCAGCTGGAGGGAGAGAAGCTGGGCCAGGCCCAAACTTGGACTCTTCGAGCTTGGGGCTATCAGAGGGTCACTGCCATTCACTGGGCCTCAGTTTCCTCAACTATATACATGGGGTTAAATAATGGACTCTTTGCTTCCCCTTTACCAACATGGACATCTTGTAGTGAGACAACACGATACCCAACCTCCCTGGACTCTGAAATGATAACTACCCAGCAGGGATGTATTTCAGCTCCATCAAGAAGAGCCTAGAGTTTCACAAATGCTCATGAGTCAGAGACGTTTTCCCAATAGTTCTTGGTATGCCTGGGGCTGGATGCTGCATGCTCCAAGCGGCCAGGTTGAGGCAGTATTGCCCAGCCAATGCTCCCCTGTCTCTCTGAGCTCAGAAGACCCTTTTCTGGCCCCTGAGAGAAGGGATAGACTCTCCAGGTCTTGACACTCAATGAGGCAGCCACGGAACCACAGAATGACGTTAGCAATAGAGAGTAACTTGGGAGCCATCTAGCAGGAAGTTAAACGATTTGCAGACCTCTTATTCATTGGCCTATCTCGGAATTCGGACATCACGGTGCCCAAGGACACTTGCTGCAGACTTCCCTCACCCCTGGGGTCTTGCCCTAGGTTAGGAGTCACCAATCTAGCCCAACCCCCTTATTTAACAAGATGAGCTAAGATCCAGAGGGGGAGGGACCTTGCTACATTAAGGTCCCACAGTAAGTGCCCAGAGGTGGGACTAGAATCCAGATGTCCTGGCTGCCAGTCCACCACGCTGCCACGCCTTTCCAATGCATTCTGGGGCACAGCTACATTTCTGGGGCTTCCAAAGAGGGCAAGGTGCCTGCAGGCTCAAGGGCGGCCCTCTCCTGCACGCTGACCAGAGGTCTTTCTCTCTTTTATCAGGTTACTGCTACAATTCCCATTACATCCCATACACTAATGAGAACAGCTGGTGCTCTGGGCTCCACCACTTAGCCATGTACTGAAAGCTCTTCCCACTTACACAGCTGTTAAAATGTCACAGCGTCTGGGAGGAGGCCCCTTATAAAGTGCTGTCATCATTCTTCTCTTCTCCTGGCTGACCAATCCTCACATTTCCTGGTTCTTGAGGGGAGGGCGTATGGGAAACACCCAGTTTAGAGGCCTAGTGGCTGCGGGTTAGAATCCTGCTGCTGTTATCCTTACTACGAAACCACAAGCTGCCTAACCTTGGCAGTGGTCAGCCCTTCTGTCTCTGTGAGGAGGGAATCAGGTGAGGTCAGGGGTTACCCTGGGGCCTGTGACTTGTTTTAAAAATATTTTGACAACTGTACTGCAATAGACTTGGTTTCCTTCACAATCCTACACAGTTTATTTTATGCATTTGAAGACATTATTCCGACAGGGGTCCCCAGGCTTCCCGAACCCCAAGGAAGGTGAAGAGCTCCCGGCACTGATGTGTCCAAGGCTCCTTCCAACTCCAGCTCCCACAGTCTCAAACGCTCCTTAGGCAAAGGGACCCTGCCTTCCAGCGCAGGCACATGAGTCGTTTATTGAGGCCGCTACTAAATGGTGCCCCCACAACAGGAGCAGACTAACAATAACATTTATAGTGTTTAAGAAATTTGCAAAGCGCCTTATGCGCATTACCTTATGTGAACCGCACAATAATCCCATGAGACAGATAGTGAGCCAACTGACCCAGGATTGAACCAAGGTCTTCCTGACTTCACTTGGGGTGCCTCTTCTGTACATACCGACAAGTCGAAGGCAAGAGGGCTGGCGACGTGAAGGAGGCACCCAGGAGGGGTACCCTCCAAAGAACAGCGCCTCAGGGGGCGCAGGGCACTGGCCCTGAATCGGACCTTGACTCCGAGGGGGCCGGTCTGGCTGTTAGGGCCATGCCCCCTCTTCTGCACAGAGTCCTCACTGTCTGAGAGACCGCCTCCTAACCTTTGTAGAGCAAGGACAACACTCGAGGTGGCCTGCGGTGATGCCCAGCACGGGGGGCCTCACCACCTTCATACCTGGTAGTGCTCTTCCGATGGCTCGGGGGTGGAAGAGCTGACGTCCAACACGTCTGCAGGAACCCAAGGCAACAACACGCACTTCCGGATGAGCTGGTCCATTTCTCCATAGGCAAAGTCCCGGGTCACCTCCTCTGTGTCAAGGTACACAGTTTAGCAGGTAGCAGCGAGGATCTTGGCACCTCTCCTCTACCACGCCAAGGGATGACAGCAGGGAGAGGGGATGGAAGGAGAGCGTGCTCCCTTCGCATCAGTCACCATCAGCCCTACGGCTTCCCCTACCCTCTCCTCAGTCTGTCATCCTCGCCTCCCCCCACACAACGCCGCCCAGATGCCAATCCAACCACACCCATCCCACCCTGTGCCTGCTAGAATTCCTGTTTCACTGTGAACAAAGTGCCGTTCGTTCTGGTCCTCCTCCTCTCACATTAGCTCTCACTGAGACCCGGCTTCTTTCTGACGCCGCTGCTTCCCTGTCTATCCTCTTTGGCATCGGCTGGACCTTCTCTCCACCCACACTCAGGTCCTAGCGGGGAGCCAGAGCACTCCTTGATCCGTCACTTCCAGACTCTCCCTTTACTTGCTTTACTCAGAAACATCTCTTTCTTGAAATCTACCTGTCAGTATTAGGGCAGCTCCTTCTGCCTCATTTCTCAAGACAGCACCTGGCTCACCAAGATCCTCTCCTCCCCACATCCTGCCCTCATTTATACTAGGGGACTAATATTCACATAGGTAAGGGGTTGTTTCTTAAGGCCCAGACCCCAAGGGGTCTCTAGGTAAACTGGAAACTATGAATTTGGATGGGAAAAAAATTAAATCTTTATTTCTATAATTGGTTTCCTTCATAATCCTATGTATTTATTTCATAATCTGATTCTGAGAAGGGGTCCACAGGCTTCACCAGAGCAGATCCAAAGGGGCCAGGAAACAAAAAAGGCTGAGAGAGCTCCTGACGATGCTCCCACAAGCCCCCCCCCACTTCCCATTTTGTCAATCTCTTTAAGTCCTAGAGCCTACTCTTCTACCCCACTGGAGCCAAACACAGGGATGGTCACATGCTACATCTTCCCATCACCCACAAGGGTTCTCTGACCAGAATTTCCCATCATGCCACTCACCCCTAGGCTCTGCACCCTCTACACCTACACCTGTTTTTAACCCTTAGTGAGACCTCTGTTCCTTCCACCCCTCCACATTGTCCCAGGCCATTCCCCCTACATGACTTCTCTTCCTCTCCAAGCTCAATCCAGCAGTCGGCCACTTCACTTCTGCCTTGTCCTTTGCTCTGGGATCCCTGGTCCTCTTCTCATCACTCTTCTCCTGACAAAACTTCAGCCCTGGATCCTTCGCACCATTAACTCTTTCAAAACCTCTTCACACCATCATCCATTCTCTTCTCCTCTGGTCTCTGACAAAGAGGTCGCCCTTCTCCTTGCTGAGGCCGCCATCTTTAAAAAGCCTTCACTGACCCTGTCATCCCCTCAAGCCACCATGCCAATGTCACTCTGCTTTTCTCAGCCAAACTCCTTGAAAGGAAGTGGCCTGTCTCCAACAGCTGCCTGCACTTTCTGTTCTCATTCCCTCCAAAGATCTTCCTAACGTGTCTGCTCTGTTCGGCGCTGCTATGTTCTTCCTTCTCTCCCTCCCTTCTGCCTCTGTCCTTTTGCACTCGGTGACTCCTCAGCAACCAAAGTCTAACTACAAACTCAGTGTAGAGGGACTCTCAGGTCAGGACAGCCAGCTACCACTTCTCACTCAGTCTTACATCCTGTACCGACAGGAGCCTCAGACATGATCTTAAACTCAATCAGACTCATTTCCTTTTCCCACAAACCCAGCAGCCCCCTTTCAAATTTCCCCATTTCTGCTGAAAACACCCAGTCTCCCAGATTCCCCACCTCAGCATCACGTCCACTCGGCCACCAACTCCCGCTCCTTCTACCATCATATCAGACCCCTCTCTTTCCCCTCAGCTCAGGGTCTCATCCCTTCTCACCTAGACTGCCAGGACAGTCACTACCTGGTGTCCCTGCCTCAAGTCTCTCACTGCTCCAGGCCGTCCTTCGCACAGATCTGACCACATCACGTGATTCTCTACTCCCCCTAGGACAAAGCATAAGCTCCTCGGCCTGGCTTTCAAAGCCTTCTACCAGCCGGTCCCCACTCACCTTTCCAGCCTCATCACTCCCCATCTTGTACCTGGTGACACAGCTGCACGAGCCTGCTCTCTGGTCCTCACGTGTGACAACCTCTCTCCTGTCTTTGGGCCCAAGCACTGGCCCTCCCCTGTGCCTGCAATGCTTGCCTGCCTCAGAGGCCGTTTAGATGCCGTCCTCTGTATGAAGTCCTTCCTATCCCCCAAATGCTGGTGCCCTCCTACCCAGAGGACCTTGTATTTGGCTCTTTTACATGTGTGTGCATTTATTAACTGTATTTTTACGCTGTGTGTGTGGGTGCACTTGTGTCTCCTGGCGAAAAGGGACTGTCTCCTTTTTCGTATGTGTATCTACAATGCCTGAAACACAGCAGGTGCTTCACTGATGTTTGTGGAATGACTGAAATAAGGAAAAGCAGACTTACCACCTGTTTCAAGGTCTCTCAGGGGCCAAAGAACTGTGTAGGCGATCTGCTGAGGCATATAAAATAAGGGTGCTGTTGCAAAGCTTGGGTTGTCTGAGTGCTGAATTCTGGATCCAAATTCATCCATGATATACCACACAGGAACCTTTTCCTCTGCAGTCTTTTTGGACAGAGAGAATATAAAGACTCATGCTTCCAAACAGCAATATGTTTTAGCTTACCCTCACAGCTATGGGAACCAATTTTTTTTTTTTGGGGGGGGGGTTAACTTTTGTAACTGTGTGGACATGACATTATTTCAAGGATCTACCATTCCACTGGTGGTATATCTTCCACTGATGTGGGCTTCATCTTTCTTTAACTAGCAGAAAGTCTGGAATTTCAGAGTTACCATGACCAAAAAAGTCAAAGGACTCTTCCAATGTTCTGGCCTAACCCATGGTGCACCCTGAAAACCCAGCCAGGTTGGGTTATTGGTATATCCACGTTTGCACAGCCTTCACAACCTGGGGTCACCTTCCCCAGGTCATGATGAGGCCATCAGGGTGGTAATCTAAAAAAAAAAATCTATGGGGGACTTTTGTAACAGTAACAGCTGATGCAGAGAACATTATTTTATCATTTACAACTTTACAACAGTGAACTGAACGCTAGCCCTGCAGCCTGGTTAATGTTTCACCGCTGACACTTTCCCATACTTGACTCTGTCAGAAATAGAGGCATTCGGGCAGCCAGGCTTTACCGCTCACTGCTCTGGACAACTTCCCGAGGGAAGGGGCTGACTTGCACAGGAAGCTGGAGTTCTCACCCAGGAGTTCCTGCTGCCAAGGAAATCACTGGCACAGTCCCATTCTCCAACTCACTGGATTCTTACAACAACCCTACGATACTCATTTGACTGTATCTGATCTCAGGTTGCCGGCCAGGGAACTGATGCCCAAAGGGGTCAGTGATTTGTCCAGAGTCACAAAGCTGGCAAGCGATGGAGGTGGTATTCAAGCCTTGGTCTGGGCCCCAAGCTTGATGCTGTTTCTACTCCATCACACAAGCTTCCGCTAAACTTTGAGGCTGGGGCGGAGGGACTCAGGAAGCAAGACGGTGTCACTAGGAGTTCATGAAAGTATTCCATCCCCACAAAGTGATTTTCATTATCACAATCAAGTGGAGTATTATTCTCCACACTTCTAAAGCAAAACATGCACTAGCCAGATGGACAATAAGTGATTTCAGGGACCCACGGTAAAGAATGACCTGCAGCTAGAAGGGCCAATCTGGGAAGTCAAGCCCAAAGCCAGTCCCACTTGGGCTATTCTCTTACATTTCAGGCCCCATCCCAGAGATGGAGAATGGAGGTTGCTCATTCCATGCTGTTACCACAGGTCAAATCCAGCCCATGTTAGAAGGGCCTGCAGGGAGGGGCAAGACATAGTTCTGACACCCAAACCTAAGCCCAATTTCTATTCCTTTTTTGACAGGGCCATACTCCAGAGCTGTGCGCCTCCATGTTTGTCATGGACGTGTCATGACAAGAGACATACACCAGAAGCCACGCCAAGAAGGCTGAGAGCAGGGCTGCTATTTCTGCCGACTCTAGGGTAGAGGCCCACTACAGACAGGAGAGAAAGCCGCATCAGGGCAGAGTCTGGGCAATGGTGGCCTTCTTCTGGCTCACTCTCTTGACTAAACTCTTTTGAGTATGCGAGAAGTGTTTCTCCTCATTTCTAGATGCTCTCTACCTAAGGAAAACTACATACTTAACAGTAATCTTTTCTTCCTTCCATGGTGAACTTTGCACTTTTATAGTCCTACAAGGATAAATCAAAGTTGCTCCACAGAACTGCCAACATTCAGATGCATGGGCATTTTGTTGCCTTTCCCCCATTTGGGCAGATGGAAGCAGCCCGCACACTTTCAAAAGCACTACAGGTTCCTACCCCTAGCAAGAGCAGAATTCTGGTGACTGACGGCCAGGACGCCGCCATTTCTGACAGAGTCGAGTACAGGAAAACATCACGCCAGCTGGCTAAAACCTCCTGCCCTGTAAAGCCCAAGGTGTTCTGCAGCTGTTGTCTGCTGATGCTTAGGCACAAAGCCGGGCCACATGCTCCAGCTCCTTCACTTTCTCGTCCTAGGAGGGAAACCCTTCCTCAAAGCCTTCCTCTGCCACCTCACTATGGCCACGGTGGGTCCTGGGTTCTTGAGGGGGAGGTGTTACATCAAACTGGAAAGGCTTTGAGTATGGGCCTGGCAGCTGGACTGTTTGGGGAGGAGACGAGGCTTAGCACCAGAGGGTGGCCAGGGCGAGTGAGGAAAAAGAGCATTGGCTAAAGTGTGGCAGTGTTCTCTCTCAGCTGGGGCAGCAGGCGCGGGCGGAAGCCCAGATTCATGGAGTAGGACACAAGTAGAACAACTCTCCCCTTAAGTTTCCTGCTCTTTTTATATCCTCTCATCATTGTCTGGAGACTAAAGCAACACCTGTGGGAGCTATCAAACAACGGCCTGGCCCAGCTGTTTCAGCGAGTGCGACCACGAGGCCTAGCCCTCGGAGGAGAGGTACTTTACAAACAGGACAAGGGGCCTTCAGCTTTACAGTGAGCCAGTCCTCAGGGTCCACCACACCCAGAACTAAGAATACGTGAACCTCGGTCTTACCCCTTGGGAGAGCTGGTAGGTCTGGTTGTACTTCCACATTTCTTCCAGAACAAGTTCCACGGAGCCCTCATCTGGAACTTCCCCATGAAATCCAATCCCCATCAAGTTGGCCATTCGGTGCAGCAGTCCTGGAACCTGCAGCAGCTGCTGGCGGGCGTGTTCTACGCGATACGTCCAGGCGTGGTCAATGAGAAATATGCTTCAAAACAAACCAAAAACTCATTATCAGGCCACGCGAGACTCATGCGGCTTGGGGCTCCCTGCTGGCTGTCTCTTGGCAACACCAAGGCCGTAAGCCTGACCGTCACTCTGCTCTGACGGACACAAAATATGGAAAACACAGGGCTGTGGGAGAAGAGAAGAGGATGGAATGGGGAGGGGCAAAGGAAAAGGAGGGAAAGGCCAAGCGCCACAGTCGGTACGTGGTGTGGCGAACAGAGAACCACCAGCCATCCCTCCAGGTGTCTCTCATGGCTCAGGGCCACCATCTAGGCCCCTTAATCAGCCCGAGGGGCTGGTGCCTGCCACACCATTCACGGTGATCTGAGGGAGAGCAGAGCCCAATTCTGAGCAGCCGTGAGCCACAGAAGGATGACGCCAAAGCACCAGGAGAGGGGCATGGTGAAGAGATGAGCGTGGAAGCCTGCAGCCTCTCAGGCCCTGGTGGGCAGCTGCTGCTGCATCAGAATGAGAAGGCATCAAGGCCCAGTGTATGGGCAGTGTAGGGACTCATACAGGAAGCACCGGAGGCCCCCTGCAGGGGAAGCTGTCCTGGGGGCAGCGCCATCCTCCATCTGATGGGCACAGCAGGCAGGTGGGTGACAAGGCCAAGTTCCCCACGGTCCTCCAGTCCCAATCCACCCCACTTCTCTGGCCTCCCTTTCCTCTCTTCCTTCAGATTTTCTTCTTCATTCCTCCTCTTCTCTTCTCCTCCCTGTCCCTGCTGCCTTCTGCCTTCAGTGTGTTTCTCTTCAAAGGTATTCATTCATTCTCCCACCTCGCCCAACGGAGGGAAGGGTTACTTTTACACTCCTGATCACCAGGTTCCCATTCTTGACGTCCTTCCTGCACACTGCCCTGTCCCTCCGCCCCACACATCCAACTGGTCACCACCCCCTGCTATTTCTCCCCACTCCCACCACCAACATTCTGGTGCAGTGTGGCCTCCTCGTCTCACACTCCCTGGCCTTCCCAGCCCATCATCTACACAGCTGCCAGAAAGACTTTCCAAAGTACAGAGCTGACCACGTCATCCTTCTCTCGGCAAACTCCAAGATCAAATACAAACTCTTGTCTGCCACCCAAAGTCCGTCCCCACCTTTGTCCCCGTTCCAGCCCATGTTCTAGACTTCTTGTTTTTCTCAGTGTTCTTGTACGGGCTGACCCCAGTCCTGGAACCTTCTCCCCCTCTTAGTAGGTCACGTTTCTTTCAGTGCATGACCCAAGCATCAACTCCACGGTTCCTAATCCTCCTAAGGTGTGAGGACCTCACTCCTCCACCAGTGAACCCGCACTGTATTTATCCTGCACACGTTTCGGCCTACAGAGCACAGAAACATTCCAGCCTTCTTACCTGTGACCTTGAGTACTCTATGACCAACTACACTGGTCGACACGTGACGCTCTATTGCCCACCTCTGCACCTTTGTACTGGCTGTCCTCCCACCCTAGAATGCCCTCTCTTATCTTTCTACTTCTCAGAATCCTTGGGCTCCTTCAAAACTCAGCTCAAACCTCCAGGAGATTTTCCATGGCACCTCCAGCTTACACTATTACTCTCCACCTAATCTCTGTATCTATTACACATTATCATTATCATATCTTTATTACTTAAACTCTCTATGGGTAGAGACTGCCCTGAAGTGCAGTAAAGTCACAATAAAAATACTAGCCTGGAAACTGCTGTATTAACTAGGAAGGGAAGAGAATAGAGCAGGAGTTAAGAAACAGGCTTCTAGTGCCAGCCTGGTACCATGTGGCGGCATGACCTCAGGTGAGTTTCCTCCCCCCTTTCTGGGCCTGTTTTGTCATCTGAAAATTAAAGAGGTGAGTTAGATCATTCCTAAGGTTCCTTCTAGCTCTGAGAATCCATGAGCCCTCCAAACTTCCCCCACGCTCCCAGGCTCCAACCATGGTGTTCTCCTTCGTTCCTCACATCCCAACAGTTATCTATAGGCCTAGGACCACAGAAGTGATCAAGTCCAGCCTTCTCTGACCAAAAATCTTCTCTACAATAAATGGTCCCCCAACCTCTGGTGGTAAAGAGGAGGAAGGAATCCTCGACCTCCCCATACTGCCTGCTGTGCTCTGGAAGGGCGCTCAGTGTGAAAAGAGCTTTCGCGACATCAAGCTGAAATGGGCTTCTTTGCCACCAATTTTGCCCCACGGGGCCGATCCCTCTTGAACACAGCAGGTCTTCAAAGCCTCTGACAATAGCTGCCATCTCCTCCCTCTGAGTCTTCAGCCCTTTTGCCCGCTGGGTCAGTGTTTTCAGAGCCAGAGGACAATGAGGCATCATGGCATGGTGGACAGAGGCCTGCACGGGGGAGCTGGAGGACCTGGGTTCCAATCCCAGCTTTTGCTGTTGTCATTCAGTCATTCTTCAGTGGTGTTCGACTCTTGGCGCTCCTGCTTGGGGTTTTCTTGGCAAAGACACTGGAGTGGTTTGCCATGTCCTTCTTCTCCAGCTCACTTTACAGAGGAGGAAATGGAGGCAAACGGGATTAGGTGACTTGCCCAGGGTCACCCAGCTAGGAAGTATGCAAGGATGGACTTGGGCTCAGGAAGACGAGGCCTCCTGACTCCGGGGCCCGGTGCTCCTGTCCACTGTGCTACCCAGCTGCCCCAATCCCAGTTCTACTGTGCACTAACAAAGTGAACCTGGACAAGTCCCCTAACCTTTCAGATTCCAGATTTCTTCTCTGTGACACGAAGAGGCTGGACTCGAGGGTCCTTGACCCTAAGCTTGCATATCATGTGGCCAGAGCAGTGGCCTCCAGGGATAGGGAAGGTCTGCAGTCCCCACAGGACGCTGCTGCTACAGGGACTTCTCTGTGCTAGGGTGGGTCACAGGTCAGCCCCTTCTCCAGACTGGAGCATTTAGAAGGGTCTTAGAGGGAGGCACAATGACTTGTGTCTGAGGCAGGATTTGAACTCAGGTTTCTTGATTCTGAGTCCAGCTGTCTGTCTACTCTGCCAGAGCAAGGAACAGGAAGGACCTGGTTCATAGAGTAAAGCACGTAGGAAGACTAAAGGGGGGCGGGGGGGGAAGGGGCTGGGCTATGAAGAGCTGCTGCCGTGGTTCAGGAGATGTGGCTCAGGCAGTGGCCGACCGTTGCCAAGAGGGGCTCCTAGACAACTGGTGGGACACGGGGACCGAGAGGAAGGAGTGGAGGGCGACATCAGGGCTGGGAAGCTGGCGCCTGGGCCGGCCAGAGGGAAGCTTGGGGGGCTTAGGGCTTCTCGGAGCCGCTGTAATACTACCTGCCTCAGACTCAAGTCCCAGAAAGCCAGAGGGGGAACAGATCTCCCAGCTGTCAGTTCTAATTCCCTAGGGCAGCAACTTCCACAGAAGCAGTTTTCTTAAGAGACACTGAATACGCTTTGCCTTTCCCAGACTATTTCTATGGAAATATGAGTAGGGGAACTGCTGCGTTTTGTTACTTTGAGGACAGAGGATGCAGAGCACTGTCTATGGGGAGAAACAGAAAAACCTGAGTCTTTGCAAAGAAAGGACAAAGGGAAATTTCACAGAAGTCGCTTCTCAGAGCTTTTCTTCAAACTCTCCAGAAAAAGAAATTCCACATGTTGATATTATATAGCACCTTAAATGATTGTACTATAACTAAGATGACTTGCTTGCTACCACTCAACAGAAATATTCTTTCCCTTAAGTGAAGTCTGTTTTTCAAGCCATCCCATGACCTGCTTTCCCACCTTTTACCAAAAAAGCCTCCCTACCCCTACCCTGAATCCTTACATTACCCACCTACAGAGCTCCTCACCAGCCCATGCCAAGAAACAGATTCTATTTCTTCATGATTCAGGTCAATGTGACCAGTTCTCCACTTCATTCTCAATGCCTGACACCCAACCGAGTCTTTCATCATTACTCCCCTCTTCACAGGCCCACTGTGAGCTGTATGCTGGTAATACCGGACACAGATATCACTAGAAAAGTCAAGTTTAAGGTGAAGCTTACACTAAACAGAATTCCACTTCAATTCCTCCCCCAGCATCAGCAGAAAACACTCCCCAGTGGTGGGCGGCACCAGCTTGGGTACAAGCCTATCTGACGTTCTCCAATGGACACCTACCTGTTGGGATCACTCGCTCGAAGCCCATTTTCATTGGTCACAATCACTTTATAACAGAGCTCGTTTCCCGGATTTGGTTTCTTTTTCAATTCTTCTTGCATTTCTTCATCATCATCTTCATCTTCCTCAACTTCCTCTACTTGCATGATTCCAAACATCTCACCAGCATCGAATATCTGAGATCAGAAGTACTTGGTCAGCCAAGACTGTGATAGTCAAAGACACCAACACGGTGATGCTAGGATGTCCCCAACGCCATTCAACTGGGTTTACACGGGAGAAAGAGGGTCAAGGAACATCAGAAGTCCAAAGCACCACTGAGATCACTTATTGCAGCCTCCTCATTTTACAGAAAACTGAGGTCCCAAGCAGGCTAGTCACGTGGATAACAAGCGGGAGAGCTGGAATGGCAACATGAGTCAGTGCTAACCTAAAATATTTGAAAACAAGTTACCGACAGTTAGAAATACTGACTTGCACGTCCTCTTTCCCTATTATTGTCGAGGGTACCACCAATCAGCTGTCACATGAATCTTCCTCAAACCCAGGGCTGACCACGGCCCCTCCATTCAATAAATACTAGTGGCTCCCTCTCCTACTGGGGTCAAACATAAAATCCTCCATCTGGCTTTTCAAGCCCTCCTGCCTAGCAGCCTCCTCTCCTGGCTGCTCCTCCTACATGAGCCTCCGTCTCCCTGGCTTTCTCCTGCCTGGCATACCCTCCCCCTTCATCTCTGCCTCCTGGCTGCCGCCAAAGACTCTCCTCCTGGAAGAAGCTCTTCCCAGCCCTCCTAAATCTTAGTGGCTGGGACTGAGACCATTCCCATTTCAGCCTGTCTCTCTCCTCACTGTATACAGTTGTTTGTAAGTTGTCTCTCCCATCAGACTGCGAGCTCCACGGGGGCAGAGAGCTTCTGCTCCCTTTTTTTCTATCCCCAGTTCTTAGCAGTGCGCCTAGCAAACAGTAGGCACTTCATAAATGCTGGCTGACCGATTACCATTTTATCAGTGATACAAGCGGACAAAGTGATATCAGTAGATAAAGGATTGGATGGCAAGCTGATCAAATTTACCACACAGATTCAGAAGAGACAGCTAGCACAATGGGGATAAGTCAGAATTCTAAAGATCCTGACAGCCTAGAACCCCAACCCAAATCTACTAATGAAATTTAATAGGAACAAATGCAATGCCTAATGCTTGGATTCAAAAAAATCAACTTCTCCAGTACAAGGTGGGAAGGTGTGCTTAGAGAACAGTTTGGCTGAAAACAATCTCGGGGTTTTAACAAATCTGCAAGTTCGATATGATGTAACAGTGAGATCTAGTTTTTCTCAAAACAGCCAAGGGAGGAAGATGGTGCACTAGCCTCATTTTTACAGACCTGGAAACTGAGGCTGGAAGAGATGAGACGACTAACTCGCTACTGCGAGGAGCCTGGTTCCTGCCTCTAGGGCCAGCGCTCCTTCCATGAGGCTAAACACCCTCTGGGACACTAAGCTAACAGTAAGTTCTTCTGAGATCTCCAACCTTGTAAGAGTTAGAGAGGCCGCCAAATGGGGCAGTAGACTGAGTACTGGGCCTGGAGGCAGGAAGACCCAAGTTCAAATTCTGCTTCAGACACTAGCTGTGTGACCCTGTCCAAGAAACTTCACTGCTGCCTGCCTCAGTTTCCTCAACTGTAAAATGGGGATAATAATAGCACCTACCTTCCAGGGTAGTATCTGTAAAGTGCTTTGCAAACCTTAAAGCATTATAGAAATGCTAACTATGATCATAACAGAGTATAACTCTGACAAATACATCCAAACATTCTTCTCCAAACAGTGGTCCGCCCGAAGTGGACAAAAGGATGTTTCATTTTTTGTTCTCTGGGATCATCAGAGTTCAGTCTCTTTTCAGTGACATTCACACTTACATTGCTGTAGTCCCTGCCTATGTGTTCCACTGCTGCTCACTGGACCTGCCTCTTCTCGTGCTCTCTTGAACGCCTATCTGTCATTTTGCACCACACAAACATGTATCATTACATTTAGAAAGCGGCCCTGCCCCGTCCCAGGGCTTCCTGTGCCTTCGGTGCTTTTCGACCACAAAGGTGCTGTTACATACACTGTGCTGGCCGCCGGGCCTCTGTCTCTCTCCTTGGGGGCACATGTGCCAGGGTGGGTAACTGTACACATCTATACAAGTATATATCAGGTTTTATATGTGAATATATGTGTGTACATATATATGGAGTTTATTATGGTGTACAGAGTAAAAGTTTGGTTTCTAAGCCCAATCTCTGGTTTTCCCAGGAGTTGCTGTCAGAGGCAGGCCTTCCCCAAACATTTTATGTTCTTGAGTCTATCAAACACCAGGCAGCTGTTTATGACTTCCGGTTTTTCTATCTCTGCCCTGTTCCGCTGATTTACCGTTCTCTTTTTAACCATGATCATATCACTCCATTTCAATGATATTGTTCTATAATCCAGCTGAAGGCGTGAAGGTACCAGGCCCACTTTCCCCCTGAGGAAGCACCCTACCTCAGGTCTATAATGAGCCAATAATTATCTCCTTGTAATCTCCACCTGACTCTCCCCCCAAGAGCCCTTTAGATATCTGAAGATCAAGACCATGCCCGCCCACATCTTCTCTCCTCCAGGTGAAATAAATGGGCTTTCCAAATGTCTTAGGCAGAGCAACCTGACCATGGTGAAGTAAAGTTATCCGTGGTCACGGAATTTTTCTATTTAGATGCTACACGTGGGCTTCCTAAACTCTGAATAAAGAATTTCTTTAAAAAACCACTACATGAAACAATGGTTAGTTTTTTATTTTAGGTTGAAAAAGCGGTGCCCCCTCGGTGGGCATTCTCTCCCTGGAGCTCTGGACCTCTCTCATCTCCCCAACCTGACCAAAGAGCTGCCTTCTTTAAAGGATTCACAGCCGTCACACCCTCCTTACAGGAGCCTCTGGTGATCACATGATTCTGCCTGTGGCCAAACAGCCAGTAACACTAGAAATGGGATTTGAATCCACGTTTCTCCTGACTCCAATTCCAACAAACCACGGGGACTCTGAGGATTAACTGCTAGGAGTTGTCAGTACGAGCTTCTCAAGAGTCAGTAACAAGGCCCTATGTGTATCTGCTGATGGAGTGAGTCATCAGTACAATGATTATAATTAATCCGAATAATCACACCCTTCTAGAGAGGGTTCTGGAAAACGACTCTGGCTGGATTCTAGGTCCACTGAACCAGCCATTGGTCTTCATGCTCTGCTGTCTGTGGACCACACAAAACCACCTGCCAGGGCTGAGGAAGTTCAACAGGAAAGGAAAGATGGAGGGCTGAATTCAAAGATGCCTAAGGTTCCTTCCAGTTCTGACATTCTATAATTCTAAGGGCAAGAAAGTGACTGAGAACCAAGTCTTTCAAAAAGGAAACATTTACTCAAGGGCCTTATAAACAAAAATATCGCTGAATCTCAGTATTTTTAATAGCAATGCAAAGCTTCCTTGCCGGTTTAACTTTCTGCAATTCATTTGGCAATTCCATAATTTCATTTTAAGGCTTTTAGCTTGGATACTCGGGGGAAGTGAAATATTATAAGTTAGAGATGAAAAACCAAACTGTGGGGATAACTTAGGTGGACAGCCTCATTTTGGAGATGGGAGCCCTGGGGCTTGAATGGGAAGAGTCTTGCTCAAGTTCCCAGGATCAAAGTGGTGTGAGGGGGAAAGCCCCAGTTCTTGGACTTCCCTGGTCAGATCTCCCTCCCCTACCTCAGGCTACCCCTGGGGAGGGCAGCCAATCTCAGGATAATGGGGGCTGCACAGGGAGCCTTAGACCAAGGGCCCAACATCCTGCCTCCAACACTTCCTGGCAGTACAACCATGAGCAAGGCATAGTACCTTTCTGTACCTCAGTTTTCTCATCTGTTAAAAGAGGAAAAATAATACTTTGCAGCACAAGTGTTGAACATGCCCCATAATACTTCCTAGTGCACCGGAACTTGATTAAAATGTATAATATACATGACAGACAACAAGATATATAACATATATATATATAGAGAGAGAGAGAGCTAAGACTACCTTTTCTGCTAATTGTTCCAATGCATTCACACTTGTTGTGTATAAAGCAAAATAAATAAAATACAATAAAACACAGATAAGCATTACACTGTAAAACCAAGTCAACATGTGGCCTTATGTACTACTCATTAGTGGCTCCCAGCTTCTATTTGAATCTGACACCACTGCTTTTCACAACCTACCCGACACAAGGGAGTTAGCTGTGGGCAAAGCATTCTGGAAAGTCTAGTTCTACTTGAGATTTTTGTCAAATTAAACTTTAAGCAAAGGATTCATTTCTACTGTGCTTTCAACAGGTTTACAAATGACTTTCCTCATAACTTAATGAAGTTGGAAGGGCAAGTGTTAACCCCCAGTTTACAGATGGTTAACACTCTACAAGGAAACAAAGGCAGAACCAGGTCTACGGTCCAGGGTCATGCTGTTATTAAGTTTCTAGAAGCAAAATGATTTAAGAGGTTTCTGAAGTGTGTTGTACATTCCTAGAAGAATCAGCTATTTAAAAGCACACCACAGATCCTTTTGAACAGTAAAGAATCCCTCCGTAAAATTCTAGCTCCCTTATGCCCCTTTGTATTTCTGCACATTAGGTTTTTGTTTAAATGATAGCTAGCATTTCTAGAGCACCTACTATGCGCCAGGCATGTGCTGAGCACTTCACAACAATCTTGCAAGGTAGGTGCTATTATGATCCCCAGCTGAGGAAACTGAGGCAGGCCGAGGAGAAGTGCCTTGCCCCACGTCACCCAGCCAGTAAATGTCTGAGGCAGGATTTGTACACAGGTCTTCCTGAGTCCAGGCATGAGTAATTAAACAACAATTTGGGGAATTTACTAAGGAAATTTTGGTAGTGCAGGTTAAGTGTAGCTGTCACTTCACAGTCTGTGTTTCCCTCAGTGTCCTTTTGGCCAACAAGCCTACAATTCTCCTACCAAAGCTCTCCTTTTTAAGCAGCCCAGTCCTTCCTTCGCTCTGGTGCTCAAACCTTCTTCCTCCCAGCTCCAAAGCCACTGTTTACTCTGCAGGTCTGGGAAGGAGGTGTGGAGCCTGTTTGGAGGAACCCAGAGGGCTGGCAGGGCGGGGATCAGAGACACACCCCAGAGCTCAAAGGGATCACAAGAGATCAACTGGTCCAATTCTTTCATTTTAGATAGAATGAAATGGAGACCAGAGAGGAAACCACTTACACACATTGCTAACGAGAGGCAGAGCAGGAAGATCAGAGAAATCTGTGGAGTCGGACATCCCAGAGGGTCTGAACGGCCCATGCCCTGCAAATCACCCCAGTTCTAGGGATGTCTGAAGGAGGGTGGTCTGTTTCTTTAGTCTTCTTTCACAAAACTTAGCTCCTCCAACCTTCCCAAGCCTGCTGCCTCCTCACCCCAGACTCAGATGAAATGGGGCTGGGGGGAAAAGAAGGGGCCAGCCTAATCCTTTCTTCTTGCTTTTAACCTATTCTGACAAGCTGCCTCCCTAGTCAGTCGCCAGACTTCGTCTCCCAGTGGCCACAAGAGTCCAGGCCCTAGCTAAGACTACCTTTTCTGCTAATTGTTCCAATGCGTTCACACAAAAGCAATCAGGTGAATTATGAGCGGGAAGGTGACAGCACAATCCACATGCAAATTTAAATTTGCTGAAAGCTAAATACATAACCAGTGGTGAGGTGGAGGGAGGATGACTGTAATTTTCCAGTCTTGATGAGTCTATCCCCAGGAACAAAGCAAGATTTTTCATGGGAGGGGTCCTGTCTCCCCTCCCCTCCTCTCACAACTTCAGTTTCTGCCAACAGATCTCCAGGCTCTTTGGTGCAAACTCTAGAAAGTGGCACCCAAAGCTTCCTCTCAAGAACTCATAAGTCTTGCACCTAGAGAAGCCATACCTCAACGCCAGCATTTTAGCCCCAATTCTGTTCAGTGCTGGAGACCTCTATTCCTCAGGCCTCCACACAAGTCTGCAGTCTGGAGGCACAAGGTCAGCCGCCATCTCTGGCCCAGGCTCTTTTCTCCCAGAGACCCTCTCCCACGTGTAGGGCTCCAGCTTGTTTGTGCACCGTGGCCGTGCACCTGGTAGACTGAGCTCACTCACTCCTGGCTCGGGCCAGGGCACTCAGACGCTGGCTGCCCTGACTTCCTCTTGCCCCTCCACCATGTCCCCCACGATGCCAGTGTGCTTTCACAAACCCCAGGAGAATGAGGGGGACCCAGAATGCAGCCTCAGGCCTAAGGGGCCACTTTCTCGACAGGACACTCGCCCGCGGTCTTCTATTTAGCTCTGCTCTTGGGAAGCCAGAGAGGAAGCGAGGTGATCTGCTCTCACCAGCCCTGGCCAGACCAGCCTCAAACTACCCTGGGGTCCCATAGTCCAAAGCCTAGGCCGTCCCACCTCCCGCCACCCAGAGCGCATGGATGACTTCTGCTGTTCAGGGAATTAATTAATGCCTGGCACGCTTCTGTGCGGACAGCTGGGCGGTGCACTGGATAGAGGGTGGGAGTCTGGAAGACTCACGATCCTGGCTCCAAACCCGGCCTCACTGGGGGTCACTTCACCCTGTTTGCCTCAGTTTCCTAGCCTGTACAATGAGCCAGACAGGGCAGACGGCTCCAGGGTCTCTGCCAAGAAAATCCACACGGGGTCAGGGACCAACCCCTCTGTGCCCCCGGGGGGTGGGGGGTCGATCGCAGCCCTCAAAGCCTGCCCGAATGGCTCAGGAGCCCTCAAACCCTCCCCTCCCCTCTCAAGGATGCCGCCCGCAGACAGCCTGTTAACATTTATTGAGCGCTTGCTGTGTGCCAACGCTACGCAGAGGGAAGGGACGCCCCCGTGGGGAGAGGGTCACCCAGGCCGCTGCCCAGTGCCTGCCCGGCATACACTAAGAGCATAATAAGTGCTGGATGACGGGCCTCCTGCCTCTACCTGCACCAACTGGGTGCAAAACAGGGATCCTCAGGCCTTCCTCAGGGGCTCCCAGGGAGGGTCCTCACCCTCAGCCCCCCAAGTGTCCCCATGGCGTCCACGCCCCCAGCCCGCCAGGCGGCCCCCCCTTCCTCTTCCGGGGGGGGTCGGTCCTCACGCTCGCCCCGCCCCCCCTTTCCCCTCCGCCGGCCCCGGCGCCCCCACCTCGCGGTGCAGCTTGTGCAGGAGGCGGTCCCAGTAGCGCTCGGGGATAGCGGAGGCTCGCAACGCCGGCCCGTGCAGCGCCACGAACGCCTTGTAGTCCTCGCCGCCGCCCTCCATCGCTGCCACGGCCGCTGCCGCTGCCGCTGCCGCCGCCGCCTCAGGCGCACCTCCTCCGCGCGAAGCCGCCGCCGCCGCTGCCGCCGCCTCACAGCGAGGCCGCCCCACCCCTTCCGCGGTTCCGCCCCTTCACGCCCGCTCCAGGAGCCTCGCGCTTCCTCCTCGTTACGCCCCGCCCCTTCCGCCCCGGCGCTTCCTCCTGAAGTCCCGCCCCTCAGCCCCCTCCACCCAGGCTCTTCCTCTTGACGCCCCGCCCCCTCCGCCCCCTCCACCTAGGCGCTTCCTCTTGACGCCCCGCCTCCTCCGCGCCCCTCCACCAAGGTGCTTCCTCCTGAAGTCCCGCCCCCTCTGCCTCGTCCGCCCCCAACGCTTCCTCCTGAAGCCCCGCCCCCTCCTCCACCTCCGCTCGGGCGCTTCCTCCTGAAGCCTCGCCCCCGACGCTTCCTTCTGACGCCCCGCCCTCAGCCCGCCCTCTACTCGCTCGGCCCCGCCTCCTTCTGGAAGTCTCCAGCGCTTGCGCGGCCTCTCCGCCTTCCCGCCTCTGCGGTCCTGACGACGCCCAGCTTTCGAGGCCTGGAGTCATGGGAGCCCTGCAGAGGCGGGAGGCGGGGGATCGGCAGGAAACCCCTCCCCTCATTGGGAGAGGACGCTCACCACCTCCCTGTTTCACTCACCCGTTCATTCATTCAACAAGCACTTATTAAGCGCCTACTACATGCCAGGCACCAAGCTAAGTTCAAAGAAAGGACACCCCCCCAAAAAAAATCCATTCAGCTACTCACTCATGCAGCAAATATTTATTAAACACCTGCTGTGTGCCAGGAACTGTGTTCTGATCCATAAGCAATTATTAAGCGCCTATGCTCTAGGGATGCAAAGAAAAGTAAAAACCAAACAGTCCCTGTTCTCAGGTAGCTCACAGTCTAATGAGGGAGACAACGTGCAAACAGCTGGTGCCAACAAGATACGCTTGGGATAAAAGACAGTGGGCAGGGGCACCGAATGTATGTAGTCAAATGCAAATTGTGGTGAGGCCCAGAAGAGGGGCCGCGCTGGAAGGAAGGCTGCGGCCAGGCCTCCTGGATGTCCACGGGGAGACACCAGGAGGCAGGAGCTGGGGGGGCCGGATGCGGGGCACCAGAGATGGGGATGGCGCCTCAGAGCGCGTGGAGACACGGGAAGGTTTGGGACGCACCCTCAGAGGGAGCGAGGAGCACAGTCCGGGAGACGGGAGGGAATGTCCAGATTCCTCCCTTCCTTAGAGGAAGACCGGGGAGGACGTCGTCCATCACCACCTCCAAGGGAAGAGAGCCTCTGCAGGAGGAGGGCGTGGTCCCCCACCCGGGATGCTGCCTGAAGGCTGGAGAAAACCCAGCCAGCCCGGCAAGCGAGAGGCCGTGCCTTCGGGTGGCTCTGCCGGGAGGGAGGATGTTTTTCTGATTCCAAGCCTCAGTTTGCCACTGTGGCTTCTTCCCGCTGTGAGAGATGTCCTCTCAGAAGTGAGGCCTCCTCAGAGGGTCGTTACTTCTTATTAATGGTTCTGGTATTGTTGCTTTTGAGTGGTACATGTGGACCAACACTAAGTGAAGACCCCTCAGAATGCAAGACCCCCTCCCCTACTCTTGGCTAGTGTTAGCAGAAGTTCCTGAGCCATAAGAGCATCCTGTCTATCTCATCCTCTCGCTATTATATGACCTTGGGTAAAAGGCTGCTGAAACTGTGAGGCCCTGAAAAGGGGAACATGCTAACATGATTTCTGTACCTCTTTGTTCTCTCTGTTACTGGGGCAGTTTTTACACAAACAGATTATGCACCTGAGGCTCGGCCAATGAGCCGACCGGAAGGGGGCTAGGGTGGGCTGCTGTGGCAGCACGGGGGTGCCCTTTCTCAAGATAGTCAATAAAGAGATTCCTCCTTTTTGCAAACTTTTGTCAAGACTCTGGTTTTTAATTTGGGTAGGTGGTCTCTGTCCCACACACCATTGTTCCTGTTCTGCCTCGAGGGCCAATCCAGGTTCTTGCACCAGACCACCCTGGCTACTGACAACCTGAAAGTTGGTTAAAGAGGCAACAAGCTAGGTGATGAGTAAATTCATATTGCTTATCCCCTTAAGTTAGCGACAAGTACACGGAGCCAGAGCTTTAACTCTGACTGAATCAAGCAATTTTAGGAGGACATTTAAACCCTGACTCAGGATGTCGGTGTTACTGAAATATATATATATATATATATATATGTATATGTATATGTATATGTATATGTATATGTATATGTATATGTATATGTATATGTATATGTATATGTATATGTATATGTATATGTATATGTATATGTATATGTATATGTATATGTATATGTATATGTATATGTATATGTATATGTATATGTATATATGTATATATATGTATATATATGTATATATATGTATATATGTATATATATGTATATGTGTATATATATATATATATATACACCCCCCTCACATACACATATATATAGCCTCCATATGTTTTTAACATATAGCATGAGAAAGGAAGTTTCTTAGTTGAATAGGTTGTAAATACAATAAGACAAGAGAAGTAACGAAGTGTTGATTGAAATTATAGACCCAGGATATCTGTGTTTTCCTGACATAACATATGTCCATAGGATGTCAAGAAAAGAAAAAGTCCCACTATTCACGACTGTGTCTGGTCCCAGGCATCCTGTCCTCAGTGATCACAGACAGGAAGAATGCTGAGCAGTTTCATCGGGTCCTGTGGTTGCTGACACAGGAAGGGCATTCTGGGTTCACTCAGACAGAAAAGATTAATCCGGGTTTTTGGCCCTTATTGGGGCTCACTTGATCTTAAGTGATTATCACTGCTTAGAGACAACTCTCACATCCCTCCTGAGTCCTCTCTTGGGCTAGCAGAGAGGTGGGGAGCCTATGAGTGGAGGCTACACATGGCCCTCCGGGTCCTCAAATGCAGCCTTTTGACAGAGTCCAAGTTTTACAGAACAAATCCTTTTATTAAGGGATCTGTTCTGTGAAGTTTGGATTCAGAGGGCCATATTTGAGGGCCTTGAGGGCCACATGTGGCCTTGAGACCGAAGGTTCCCCATCTCTGGTGCTAGAATGAAAACTCAGGCCTCTTCCTGCCTGATTGAAATCCCTTCCTATCAACCCATGGCTATCTCCCTCGGCTGATGAGGCCCGCCTCCTCCCTAGTGCCTCCCCCCGTGCTTTTTTTCAGTCACTCTTACATCACTGACTCATTTAGTGACCTGGGGCAAGTCTCCCTGTGGTCTCCCTTCCCTGGGTGGACACTGAGCTCCAAAGTCTCTTCCAATTGTAGAATTCTGTGACCATTATAACTCCTAACCCTGCTCCCTTATCTTCCTTCCTTGACTTCTCTCTTCCTTTGATTTTTAGCTCCCATCCATGATCTACCAGCCTTTGACCAAATGGGAATCATGTATGTTCACAGGACTAAGAGATGGGAAACCAATGGCATTCTTGGTCTGGGTGTCATTGGGCAGGTCACCCAAACTCTCTGGGCTCCAAGACCATTTCTATAAAATGGCAGAAGTGATGTTTCATTTTCCCATCAGCAATTATTCTCCATGTTTTACAGGTGAGGAAACTGAGGCTTAGAGAGGTTATAATAACCTGTCTAGTGGTGGGCAGGATTCAAACCCAAGTCTCCCCTGACTCCAGGTTCGGCTCTCTGTCCACTCAAGAGGATCCCTGGTGCTCACTTCTTGTTCTAAGACCTGGGTGTCCTATCCCTGAAGAGATCTCATCGTTTTTGTCGGGTCCCATGGAGGAGCCTGTGGAGAAGACGTTGTGATTACTCGAGTCCACCATGTTCTCCCCTTTGAGATGGTCATTACCACTTAGAGCTTTCCAGCATTGTGCTAAGGACCAGAAACATCCCTAGCGGATTTGCATTTGTATTTTGAGTATTAGCTGATAGTTTCTTGAGGAATCACGTTCCCAGGCTTGATCTCTAATTTTCCCAGAGCCCTTGGGATCTTTCACTGCTCCCCTCACACCCTACCTGGCATTGTTTGCCTGTGTATTTCTCATAGGCTCCCAGGCTACCCAGACCGTCATCTTCCTGAAAGCAGGGCTGGCCATTCTTTGGATCTTTCTCAGGGCCTCACACATAGTAGGTGTTTTATAACTTTTGAATCAGAATTAGTTTGATTTGCCACAAGGTGATTTTTTCTTCTGGTTTGGCCCCGTAATTGCTTCAAGTGGGCCAGCGGGCCTCCAATTTTATAATAAGAGTCATAGTGAGGGAGTGAGGGTTTGTTAGGCAGAAATGTGATGTATAGGATTGTTATTTAGAAATATGCGTCTTCCCTAAGTAGAGACACGGCCACCTTCCCCAAGTGCAGTTACAGAGCAAAGATGTTTCCTCCGCTGCTCCCTTTCGCAGATTTCTCAGGGTCATGCATGTGTTGCTTCGGCAGTAAATGAAAGGGAAGCAGGAGCTAGGCCTGTTTCATGTTTATTATTGAAGCATTTCCCCCCAAGTTTCATTCCGTGCCTCACTGAAGCTCTGACACAGCCCGCAGAGCTGCCAAGGCACCAGGGAGTGAGGCATGGCCCCCCTTCCTGTTTGTAGGGGCCAGCCTGGCATTGGCAGGGGGCTGTATGCTGGCAATCGCTCAGGCTCCACCATTTTGGCTTGTCTCCCCCGTTGTCCGTTCGACTCCCACAGTGCTGTCTGAAAACATGGCTAGCTTCTGGGAGTGGTGGGTCAGTTACGTCTGACTCCTTGTGACCCCACAGACCGTTGCCTGCTGATACTGCCCGTGGGGGTTTCTTGGCAAAGACGCTGGAATGGTACCAGTTCCTTCTCCAGTAGATTAAGGCCAGGGTCACACAGTCATTAAATGTATGAGGCTGGATTCGAACTCAGGTCTTCCTGACTCCAGGCCCAGTGCTCTATTTAATGAGCCACCTAGCTGCCTCAACTTGTAAATGTGGTGCCAGGGGCAGCCCTTCCTTGTGGGCCGGTTCCGCCTCACTACCTCACTCTGTGCCTCTGAAAAGCCTTTCTTT